ATTTAATGCCCCTCAAGAATAATAGTGTTAATCATGTCAGCTGGCTGGCATATGGAAGTCACCTTAGAGCCCTCTCAGACCAATCTGGCTGCAGCTCCACCTACCCCACCAAAGTCAACCCTCTTCTGGCCAGTCGCACCTGATTTTCCAGGAGGAAAATCACATCCAGGTTTATGGAGCAAGAGACTGTGAGAAGCCCACACACCCTGTTTCCTTCTGACTTTGAGTTCACTTTGTTGCCCTTGAAAAAGGCTGTTTTTCTTTAACTAAAAATAACCAAAACACTTAAAAAAAAAATCTTCCAACAAACAAAAGCCAAGGAACAGATAGCTTCACAGGCGAATTCTGTCAAACATTGAGAGAAGAGCTAACACCTAACCTTCTGAAATTCTTCCAAAATACAGCAGAGGGAGGAACACTCCCAAACTCATTCTACGAGGCCACCATCACCCTGAGAACAAAACCAGGCAAAGATGTCACAAAAAAGAAAACTACAGACCAATATCACTGATGAACATAGATTCAAAAATCCTCAACAAAATATTAGCAAACAGAATCCAACAGCACATTAAAAGGATCATACACCATGATCAAGTGGGGTTTATCCCAGGAATGCAAGGATTCTTCAATATATGAAGTCAATGAATGTGATACACCATACTAACAAATTGAAGGATAAAATCCATATGATAATCTCATTAGATGCAGAAAAACCTTTCGACAAAATTCAACACTCACTTACGATAAAAACCCTCCAGAAAGTAGGCACAGAGGGAACTTACCTCAACAAAATAAAGGCCATATATGACAAACCCACAGCCAGCATCGTTCTCAATGGTGAAAAACTGAAACCATTTCCTCTAAGATCAGGAACAAGACAAGGTTGCCCACTCTCACCACTCTTATTCAACATAGTTTTGGAAGTTTTAGGCACAGCAATCAGAGAAGAAAAAAATCCAAATCAGAAAAGAAAAAGTAAAACTCTCACTGCAGATGATATGATACTATACGCAGAGATTCCTAAAGATGCTACCAGAAAACTACTAGAATTAATCAATGAATTTGGTAAAGTAGCAGGATACAAAATTAGTGCACAGAAATCTCTTGCATTCCTATACACTAATGATGAAAAATCTGAAAGAGAAATTAAGGAAACACTCCCATTTACCATTGCAACAAAAAGAATAAAATACCCAGGAAGAAACCTACCTAAGGAGACAGAAGACCTGTATGCAGAAAACTATAAGACACTGATGAAAGAAATTAAAGATAAAAACAGATGGAGAGATATACCATGCTCTTGGATTGTAAGCATCAACATTGTGAAAATGACTATACTACCCAAAGCAATCTACAGATTTAGTGCAATCCCTATCAAACTACCAATGGCACTTTTCACAGAACTGGAACAAAAAATTTCACAATTTTTATAGAAACACAAAAGACCCCGAATAGACAAAGCAATCTTGAGAAAGAAAAGACTATACTACAAAGCTACAGTAATCAAGACAGTATGGTACTGTCACAAAAACAGAAATATAGATCAATGAAACAGGATAGAAAGCCAGAGATAAACCCATGCACATGTGGTCACCTTATCTTTGATAAAGGAGGCAAGAATATACAATGGAGTAAAGACAGCTTCTTCAATAAGTGGTGCTGGGAAAACTGGACAGCTAAATGTAGAAGAATGAAATTAGAACACTTCCTAACACCATACACAAAAATAAACTCAAAATGGATTAAAGACCTACATGTAAGGCCAGCCACTATAGAACTCTTAGAGGAAAACATAGGCAGAACACTCTATGACGTAAACCACAGCAAGATTCTTTTTGACCCACCTCCCAGAGAAATGGAAGTAAAAATAAACAAATGGGACCTAATGAAACTTAACAGCTTTTGCACAGCAAAGGAAACCATAAAGATGAAAAGACAGCCCTCAGAGTGGGAGAAAATATTTGCCAATGAAGCAGCTGACAAAGGATTAATCTCCAAAATATACAAGCAGCTCATGCAGCTCAATATCAAAAAAACAAACAACCCAATCCAAAAATGGGCAGAAGACCTAAAGAGACATTTATCCAAAGAAGATATACAGATTGCCAACAAACACATCAAAAGCTGCTCAACATCACTAATCATTAGAGAAATGCAAATCAAAACTACAATGAGGTATCACCTCATACCAGTCAGAATGGCCATCATCAAAAAATCTACAAAGAATAAGTGCTGGAGAGGGTGTGGAGAAAAGGGAACCCTCTTGCACTGTTAGTGGGAATGTAAATTGATGCAGCCACTATGGAGGTTCCTTAAAAAACAAAAAATAGAAATACCATACAACCCAGCAATCCCACTACTGGGAATATACCCTGAGAAAACCATAATTCAAAGCGTCATGGACCACAATGTTCATTGCAGCACTATTTACAATAGCCAGGGCATGGAAGCACCCTAAGTGTCCATCGACAGATAAAGGGATAAAGAAGATGTGGTAACATATATACAATGGAATATTACTCACCCATAAAGAGAAACAAAATTGAGCTATTTGTAGTGAGGTGGATGGACCTGGAGTCTGTCATACAGAGTAAAGTAAGTCAGAAAGAGAAAAACAAATACTGTATGCTAACACATATGTATGGAATCTAAAAAAAATGGTTCTGATGAACTGACGGGCAGGACAGGAGTAAAGAAAGACAGACATAGAGAATGGACTTGAGGACACGGGGAGTGGGAAGGGTAAGCTGGGACGAAGTGAGAGAGTGGCATGGACATATATACACTACCAAACGTAAAACCGATAGCTAGTGGGAAGCAACCACATAGCACAGGGAGATCAGCTCGGTGCTTTGTGACCACCTAGAGGGGTGGGATAGGGAGGGTGGCAGGGAGACGCAAGAGGGAGGGGATATGAGGATATATGTATACGTATAGCTGATTCACTTTGTTATTACAGCAGAAACTAACACAACATTGTAAAGCAATTATACTCCAATAAAGATGTTAAAAAACAAAAAAAATTGCAAAGTAGTTTCAGTGAAGAATCTGTACCACACCACCATCCCTTGCCAGTGTTTTATAGTTGTTGCACTCACAATCGATTAGATAGCATTATGTGTGGTAGCTTTCCTTTATTACGTCTTTTCAAAGTATTAAACTTCATTTTCTTATAAACAGCAAATCTCTTTTTTAGAAACATTATTTCATTGGTTTATATGATATTTAATTATATTAAAATAACAAGTGCATCTGTTATAAATACATATGGGAGTATTATAAACACCTGATTGTTTATATGAATACAACTTGACTGGTGGGAACAACATTGTAAAGTTGTAGTAGAGCAGCAACTTTTTGGTCTTAGGACTCCATTTACAGTCTTAACATTATTGGGAACCCTAAGAGCTTTGTATTTATGTGAGTTTTATCTATTAATGTTTATCATATTAGAAGTCAAAACTGAGCAATATAAAAATATTAATTCATTTAAAAATAATAATAGACCCATTACATGTTAACATAAATACCTGTGTATCATTCATTCTTTCAAGTAAAAATGGTGTACCCGAAGAAAAATGACTAGTTCAGTTTATAACTCTGTTGCCCAAGTGCTTTTCCCCATGACAGCTATTGTATTTTGATATGCAGCAGGAGTGCTTTATGCGTATTCCTCATTTTATCATGTAGATTCCTAAAAAGACATGTACTCAAGAACTGAAATTTAATAAAAGTAATAATTTTTACTGCTTCATCAAAAACATCCTTTACTAAAATTGGCCTTTTTTTTTTTTTTTTAACTGTAAGGTTATGGCATTGAAGAATCCAATGCCTTGATTCATGCTAAGGTACCACCAGTTTACCCATCATTGCTTTGTGCCATCAGTGTAAATACCAACACAGTGAAAAAGACAAATAACTGAGTGCTGTCATGAATATAGTTTTGACTTCATGGGTCCTCTGAGACACCCCCCTCCTCTGAGATCCACAGATCACACTTTGAGAACTGCTGTCCTAGATGGTCATCTACAAACAATAAGCTCTAATCATGCTGTAGACCTTAGTCTTATGCTTTACAGAGGGAGTGGAGAATATTTAGTTAATCTGGAAATTCAGCAGAAATTGGTTAAGTGGAATTTCTACTTAAAAAATGTGCATGGGGCTTCCCTGGTGGCGCAGTGGTTGGGAGTCCCCCTGCCGATGCAGGGGACACGGGTTCGTGCTCCGGTCCAGGAAGATCCTACATGCCATGGAGCGGCTGGGCCTGTGAGCCATGGCCGCTGAGCCTGTGCGTCCAGAGCCTGTGCTCCGCAAGGGGAGAGGCCACGGCGGTGAGAGGCCCACGTACCGCAAAAAAAAAAATTTTTTAATTAAAAAAATAAAATAAATAAAAAATGTGCATGAGTTTTAGAATGGTCTCTGACTCCAGATTAAGATTTTTGAATATTGGTTTGTTTGGAGTCTGTGAATTTTTATTTCAACCATATTTTGTAGCCTGTTTAAATATTTGTTCTGATTATATTGATCACTGCTAACCTTAGGGATCATTTAAGAATATTTTCCAGGTCTCCCAGAAATATTTCAAGTCTTGATTTTATCGCAAAGTTCTTTTGGAGATGCACAGTGCACTATGTTAAAATGACTGTTTCCCCTCTCCTCTATACATTACAGTGTCTTTTCTCTACTTTGTGTTGTTTTTCCCTCGAAATTAGGCTAAAATGATGCCTGATAGATTTTAGGGAGAGTGAAAAATGCACAGGGTTATTATTTGAGATAGCATTGGGGAGTAGTAAAAATGGAATTTCTCTTAAAAGAGAACCTTGATTCAATACGATATGCTGCTTCACAAGAAAGGTTGTGGATGGAAAGCAAAGCAATTTTTTAAAAATGCATGCTGTGTATTAGATGAATTATCATCCAAGGTGCTTTTTTAAATTGTTAATACATGATTTATGGGCCACCTAGTTTTGGAGATCATTGGCTCTCTATTTAATTTTTAGAATATGCTTGAATTGCTGGAAGAAATGCCAAATGGAGTTCCACCTGAAAAAGTAAAAAGTTATATCTATCAGCTAATCAAAGCTATTCACTGGTGCCATAAGAATGATATTGTTCATCGAGGTAAGTATGGAATTTTTGAAATGGAAAATATCAAATAAAGTTAACAAAATATTTCACACAGGCACTGACATTCCATTTAAATTAAATACATTTTGAAAGTATAGGATATGAGACATTGTTTGGGCTCCAAGTCTCCTTTTGTATCACCAAAAGGATGGACTGCACATTTATTTGGATATTATGGTGAGATCTCTGTGTTTGTAAAACCAGATCCGCTTTCAACAGCAAAAGCACCTAGTGATAAAACAAACTCAACAAATGGAAACTTTGAAGCTTACTTGCAGGGGGAACTACCCTCTCCATTGCCTTTTGGTCCTGCAGGTAGAGCAGGTAATGTGAAACAAGCCAGAATCAGGCTTTAGACATGGTGCTAAGTCACTGGCCCCCATTGACAGCCACTTCTCATTTCCTCTTAGACCAAGATCTCTAGTATGTACCTTTACCTCCTGATTTTCCCTACCTGTTCATGAAAAGTGCCCATTGTTTGCAAGTTGTAGGCATGATGAACCTTGCATAAGGGCCATGATTATACTTCCATAAACTGTTCTATTTTGTCCTTTATTGCCATGAAGTGGGTGGTTTATAGCAGTAAAAGGGAAATTACTTGCTCAGCAAGATCTTTAATCTATACCATTTATCTTTTCCTGATAATCTCTTGCATTCAAGGGACACAAATTGATACAATAATGAAGCTCAAAGATGTTTGTCAGAAAATGTTGCAGTATCCACTTCTTATCTTTGAATTATCAGACAAATGAATACTACATTTTAATTTATCTAAACAGGCACACAAGGATATCACTTTAAAAATAGCCTCACTTTGGGCTTCCCTGGTGGTGCAGTGGTTGAAACGAGTCTGCCTGCCGATGCAGGGGACACGGGTTCGTGCCCCGGTCTGGGAAGATCCCATATGCTCTGGAGCCGCTGGGCCCGTGAGCCATGGCCACTGAGCCTGCGCGTCTGGAGCCTGTGCTCCGCAACGGGAGAGGCCACAACAGTGAGACCCGCGTACCGCAAAAAAAAAAAAAAAAAAAAAAAAAGCCTCACTTTAAGAATAGCTTAAAGGTCATGTGAAGAATGCCAACTCCTATTATTTCTGGAAAGAGACAGTTTGTATTTCTCTTGCATTTGACTTTCATAGCAGTTACATTATGAAGGTTGTTGGCAGCATGGAGAGATGTCTTGGTCACCTGGACGTCTAGTGTCTAGGGTAATGATTCTAATAACAGTCTCTACTACAGTTTGAGGATATTAAGAAACTGATTTAGCTGCATTTCCATAGTGATACTGAGATTTGGTTAAGTGTATAGTGAATTAATGGTTGTGAATTAATTCAGAAACCATGATTCTGAAATCTACAGATCTCACTCCTACCTCTTCCCTTTCTCCATTTTCACTTCTACCATATAATATAGATGATGGGCACTCTAAAAATAGAATTGTGAGATGCCTCCAAAGGGAGGGAATTAAACTGCATTTTCTGTGTATTTCTACTCCTTAACTCCCACCACATCTTCAAAAGATCCACAGAATAAATGAGAAATCTTATCTTGACTCATCCATCATAGCTTCAGCACTAGACATTTATGATTGTGAACCACATCATAGAAAACCTAAAGAGATATATAAATATAGAAAGTATACAGAAAATCATAACGAACAATGTATCTTATTTGTATTTTTTTCTCCAGTAAATATAATGCTACCTACTTACTCTCATATATGTTTTTAAAGTATCTTGTGGGTGTAAACAGTTTATAGTCTATCTCCAAAAATTTGTATTATTAGTATTTTATAAAGTAAAAATAGTTCCTTAAAATGTGGTAGCCTAGATTTAATCATTTTTAAATTCCTTTCAGAGGTCCAATTGATACCTTTAAAATTTAAGGGGAAAAATATTTTTGAAATGGTGGTCTGCATGTTTTTCAAAAAAAAATTAATTGGAACTTTTGTGTACCAGCATAAAATGTGTTACTCTGCTTTTCACTGCCATAGTTTTCTATTCATATTACTCTGGATATTTCTAATTAGGTGCCATTACAGTGCTCTAACAGTATCAATCAGCAGTACATGGAACATTTTTTAATAATTGTTTTTTAATCTTGATACTCCAGATATAAAACCAGAAAATCTCCTAATCAGCCACAATGATGTTTTGAAACTGTGTGACTTTGGTAAGTTAAAAAGAAATTGAGCCCTGTAAGTACAGAATTAATTTAATATAGCACTTAAGTAGCTTTTACAGGTGTATTAAAAGTATTTTTTATCTTTTGACTTAAATTAGCAAATGAACATTCTATTGGGTTGTATATTAAAAAGTTGATTGTGGGAAGAGTTCTACTCTCTTTGCATAGTATTGTCTACTATTTTAAAAAATTCATCATGCAGTATTTGTTTAATGAGAATTCAAAGCAAATACATGCATGTGCATATATTCATAAGCCCAGTACTTAATGACCTCAGAGAAAGAATTTTCCAGAAATACCACTATGGCCTGCTGACTTGAGTTGGATAAAAAAAAAAATTAATATTTTAAATATTGATAGAAATTGTTTCAGGCATAATCATAAACACTGAAAATATAACTATGTAAATACATATGTGTTGTATATATGCAATAGTTATATATCTGTAAGGTTAAAAGACATTTTTAGAATGATTCCGTTTATTCCCTTTAAATGTTCAGTGGGGGACTTCCCTGGTGGTTCAGTGGTTAAGAATCCTCCTTCCAATGCAGGGGATGCAGGTTCGATTCCTGGTCAGGGAACTAAGATCCCACATGCCATGGGGCAACTAAGCCCACACACCACAGCTACTGTGCTCGCGTGCCTCAACTAGAGAGCCTGCGTGCCACAAACTACAGAGCCTACGCACTCTGGAGCTCGCACGCTGCAACTAGAGAGGAGCCCACGTGCCGCAACAAAGAGCCTGCGTGCTGCAACTAAGACCCGATGCAGCCAAAAAATAAATTAATTTAAAAAAAATAATGCAAAGAAGAGTCCTGCTGTACCTAAACATCTTAAGAAGTACTTAGGAGCTGAAATTTGTCAAGCAAGTTATAAATAAAAAAGATGCATATAGAATGGTTAATAATAGGAAAAAAGTATCCTTAGTCTAGCATCATTTCTTAAAGAAAAGACAGCTTTAAACGGTCAGGAAGTTCCACATGATGGCCCCACATATGGCGTTCTGTGCCCTGCACATCCCCACCAAGAACCTCCTGATTGTTTTCCCTCCCAGAGTGTGTAGCTCCTTTGTCTGGCTTGAAGAATCCCACTAAAAAATACGAATATTTCTTCCAAATATGTCTTATAAAGAAGTGTTGATTAACTGAAGTTAGGGGGTTTGTTTTTGCTGTGTTTATTTTTTTTTTTACTGTTCCACTTTAAGAAACACTATTTTCTATTTCTTGAAACTGACATACACCTTAACTTTTACCTTTAATTTTAATATTCTGGTTCTCTGTAACTATTTACAGTGAACCTATATTGCTTTTGGTGAGTTAGATGGGTAATTAACCTACTTGCCAGTTTATTTTGTGGCCCCAAAACCTTTTGAAAGGGTTGTTACTTGCGGGGGGCGGGGGGGTAGCAATAGAGTCTGTAAGGTAATTAAGATATCCCTAATATGCTTCTCAGTCACATTAGGAGATAAAAATCATTTTAGCCTGCTTTGTTTCCATCATTGCCAAACCCTACCGATAGTTGTTTACATAATGGCCGAGCTGATCAGCACCAATAGATATACAAATGCTATCTAAGGTCCCACATAGCAGAATTAACGACTATCTGCGACATGCTAATTTAGCTTTGACTTCTGGCTCTTGTGGAGTCTTCATTTTGTTTCTAAGATTTACACTTATTGGAAAAGCTCTGAATGCTTATAAAAGCATGCAATAACTTTGAAAACATAGATTTCTTTATCAGAGAGGAGAGGCTGGTTTTGTAGTGAATACACTGTATATTTTAATTGACGAATGAACAATGGACTAACTTTTTTAAATGACAAGGACACTGTTAATAAACAGCCCATTCAGTAACAATCATTATATTCTTTTGATGTTCCTTTAAGGTATTAATAGCACTGAAATATTTTGTCAACATGACAAATTAATTCTAATTAATTCTTTAAAAAAATTAATTCTTTTTCAAAATTACACCTTTGGGCTTTGCTATCTTTCAGGTTTTGCTCGGAATCTCTCAGAAGGCAATAATGCTAATTATACAGAATATGTGGCCACCAGGTGGTATCGGTCTCCAGAACTCTTACTTGGGTGAGTTACCTTCCCAGAATAGAGTGACATCTACATATTTGCTGATCCTCTATTGTTAACTTTGGGATTATCTGTGGAAGATAAGAACTTGAGTTAATTAAATACCAGTTACCTATTGCAGTGTAGCAAACCACCTAAAAACTTAATGACATAAAGCAAGCACCATTTTATTTGCTCACAATTCTGGGTGCCATCGGGTTGGGGGAGTCAGCTGTTTGAGTTCAACTGGATGATTCTTCTGCTGGTCTCAACTGGAGTTGCTCATATAGCTACAGTCAGCAGGTCATCTGGAGGCTGGTTGGTTTAGGTCCTCAGCTGGGACAAACTATCTCTGTTCCATGGGGACTCATCCTCCAGTGCGTTAGTCCAAGTTTCTTCATATAATAGCAGAAGAATTCCCTGAGCAGAGGGCAAGCCCAAAAGCAAAGGTGGTTTTCAAGCCTCTTTGCATGACTTTTGCCTCATTGGCCAAAGCACGTTACTTGTCTAAGCCCTGATTCAAGGGATGGAGGAATAAACTTCGCCTCTTGATGGGAGGAGTGGCAGAATCACATTACAAAGTGGCAGGTGTATGGAAATGGAGGGAAATTATTGCTGCCATCTTTGTTAATAGTCTTCCACATTAAGAATGTGTATATCCACAGAGTTTGACATTCCGGCTTATCTGTTTGTTCATGTATTCATTCATTCATTCAGCAGATACTTATGGAGTATCTCTTATGCCTAGCCACTTTTCTGTAAATATTGAACCTACTGATATTTTCCTTCCAAACATTGTAAATCCTGTTTGATGATAAATGGCTTTCCAGACTAATATATTGATAATTTTCTCAGCAACACTGCCACATCCATCCACTTTGTGCCACCCTTCCACTTTCAGTGGTATTTCATTCACCTGTCAACACCAGAAAAACATTTTCTGATAAGATACTTCTTCCTCTTACTATGTTTTAACTTCAGAACCTAAGAAAGGACCTGTAGTCTTGATCTCCATCACAGTTTCACTAATAATTCTCTACTTATCGTAGTTGTAGTATTTTCTTATTCTTCCTAGATCGTATTTCCTTCTTTGGGACCATCAAAGAATTGAGGTAGAAGACACACTCTACAAATAAAATTAGATATGATGGTAATGATGACCAGTGCACGAATTATTATAGGTTTCATCTCTTTTCTTTAGTGTGCCATACATGTATCTAGGGGACATGAGAAATTTAATTTTTAAAAGATATTTTTTACAACATTGTAAACTATACTTCAATTAAAAAAATTTTTAATAAATAAAGGTACTTTTTATATAATAGAAATATAAATTTCTGTATTTCTTCTGAAGATCATGATGACTATATGTTTAAGCTACTCACTGAGGGTTTATTTTATTTATTTTTTACACAGCAGGTTCTTATTAGTTATCTATTTTATACATATTAGTGTATATATATGTCAATCCCAGTCTCCCAGTTCATCCCACCACCACCACCCCCCCCACTGAGGGTTTATTTTTATTTTTTTACACTTGTGGTCAGTTGATTTTCTTATTTTTTTATTATTAAAAAGTTTTTTTTTATTGGGGTATAATTGTTTTACAATGTTGTGTTAGTTTCTACTGTACAGTGAAGTAGAGTTCCCTGTACTATGCAGCAGGTTCTCATTGAGGGTTTATTTTGAAGTTAACAATTGATTTCCCAGGGTCTACCAACCATTTGGCGTTAAATCTTGTTTCATTGCTGACCTAGAGCCTATAAGAATTATTGGTGTCGGTTATTGAAAGCTTTACCATTTTTTTTTTAATCAAAAGCTTGTGCTTCATCCTGTGAAATAAATGGTGGCTAGTCACTTTATTATCCCTCCTTGTGTGGATAGATTTTAGAATTTCTGTGCTCATTTTTCAACTTGGATTTAGGATTGATTTTCTTTTGTGTTGTCTATGTTTCTTCTGTGTACCTCTGTCTGGACTCACTCTAATGTGTAGTCTATTCATCTGTTCATTCTTTTGGGAGGGATTGGGAGTTTGAAATTCCTGGACAGGATTTTCCAAAGAAGAAATGAGTACGAAGTAAATCATTCTTAGAACCCCATCTGAGGATTCAAGTATGGTAGAGGGACTCATTATAATATGGTTTTGTCTATAAGATGTCCCTGAGGAGTTCATTCTGAGGACAGCCTTATTATGAAACTTCGGAGAGTATTTGCTGCCTAATAATACCTCCTGGAAAACTGAGCTATGTTTATAGCTCATTAACTGAGTTATGTTTAGAGCTATATGGGAGCTACCAAAAGTAGATGGGGACTCCAACTAATTTGAGCCAAATTGAATATTACTGATTAAATGATTGTCAAGTACTGGTTGAAGAACCATATTATTTGTATAAAAATCCCATTGAAATCAGTTGATATTTGGTTAACATGAAGAATTTACAGGTTTTTATACATTCTCAAGACTTTGTCCTTGACATTCAAAGTAGTTACAGCTGCATAAATTATTCAGATTAGTTGACAGAAGAAAAATAGCTTATGGTGGGTATGTAAAGATTTTCCATAGTTTTCTCCATCTAGCACAAGTTTTGTCTTTCTTATACTTGTATGAAAGAAAGATCAGTATCCTTCCCTTCCCAGCAAGCTACCAAAAAAATCTAAATGAAGTTTCCTAGTATGGTTCTTGGGTTTTTATGGGAGGAAATGAGATAAATAAAATATTGACTTATTGTTACAATGATTTATCATCCTAGAAACATATTCTGTATTATGTTAAAAGTGCTTTAGAGTATTTGTTAAAAGTTTTATTACTACTATAGCACTATGGCATTCTAGAATTTTAATTCCTTTTTTTTTTTCAGGTATTTTATTTTGGCTTTCCCTGCTTAAAACTTAGATAATTTATGTTTGAAACTAAAAAATATGATTTCTTAATCTGCCTTCTGTAATTTGATTTAAGGCTATAGATATTGCGGTATACATGTAAAGCTTTTTTGGGGATACGTAGATTTTCATGTATAGCTGATTAGCAACAGTAGTACTCCAAAAGCCTTCTGGTAAACTCAGACCTTGGAAGATAGCTATAAATCCCTAAAGAAGTGGAAAAAATGCTTTGAGGGAAATGCCTGTCATAAAGTCCCATAAACAAAGGGTATAAATAGATTGAAGTAAATAATCCAATAGCATTTAGCACAATCTTAGCTGTTTTGACTCTGTGCAGTCAGAGGTTAAATAATATTAAGTGTTTGTTGTTTAAGAAGACACATAAGTCAGTGGTACATTTTAATAGGCTGAACTCAAAAAATGGATCAGTATAACTTGTTGACATTTAGAGAGCTAAAGGATAATTGCCTAGAAAATACATTTCTTGGGAGCATTTCATTCTCCAAGTGAGTGGTAACTCATCAGACATGTGTGCTGTATTTAGGGTTTATTAATCCATTCATATTCAAAATATATCTGGATGTGAATAGATTTCAAATCAGTGTATACTAACTAAATTTTTATTAAACTGATGGCTTTATTAGCATAGATTTATTCACTTGTGTTCTGAAGTTTTACTTTGATATCCATACTTCCTTTTTTTCAGCCTCACTTTTGTCCATGTGGTATTTTTTAATTCCTTAAATACCCAAATATGCTTTAAATCATGAATCTGTTCAAAATAATTTGGAAATTATTAAAATTTATTTCTTCAGTTGCCAAGATATCTCTCCCTTTGCTTTTCAGAGCTCCCTATGGCAAGTCTGTAGATATGTGGTCCGTGGGCTGTATTCTTGGGGAGCTTAGTGATGGACAGCCTTTATTTCCTGGAGAAAGCGAAATTGACCAACTTTTTACTATTCAGAAGGTGCTAGGACCACTTCCGCCTGAGCAAATGAAGCTCTTCTACAGTAATCCTCGCTTCCACGGGCTCCGGGTAAGAGGCTTTGCTAAAACCCCAAATGGAATCAGTACACTAGTATTTAAATCATTGCTCATTGCACAGTGGAATGCTAAGCTATCCATCGAATACTATTGCCTTTCCCATTACAGTGTTTATAATCCCCATTATAATATTTTATTTTTGGTTTTTTTTCCCGTTTTTTTTGTGGTACGCGGGCCTCTCACTGTTGTAGCACAGGCTCCGGACGTGCAGGCTCAGTGGCCATGCCTCACGGGCCCAGCCGCTCCGCGGCATGTGGGATCTTCCCGGACCAGGGCACGAACCCGTGTCCCCTGCATCGGCAGGTGGACTCTCAACCACTGTGCCACCAGGGAAGCCTTATAATATTTTACTTTTGAATTTTATATAGTATTTGTGAATTCTGAATTCGAAAGTGGGAGCTGCTAATATTTTCCTAATTTGTAAGTTCCAATTTTTCAAAATCTTTTTTAGTGTACGCGTTATTCTAAACTTTGGTTATCTCAGAATGTTTCTTTATGCAAAATATTAAGCATCCCCAAAAGATAGAAAGATGTATAAATGGCTATTGCTTATTTGAGCAAACATAGTTGTAGTGATTTGAGGAAGATGATGAATACTCACATTCTGCATATTTAAAGATGCTGTTCTAGTGGGTATTTCCTGTTTAGTGAAACATCAAATCTTCTTTTCAAACTAGTGTATTGTCTTGGGCAGCCTTTTCTAGACTTGCTAACTTTGTGCAAAACTTGATTTCAGAAAATATGCTAAAAAGAGTCTTAAACTATAAACTTTCCCCAAATGAGGGACAACCAAGTCGCAGGAGGCATCTTACTGGAGTGGCCAGTTACAAGCTGCTTCTCTGTTCCATCCACCCCCAAAGCAACATTTTTAGTTTTCAACTACCCTGTTTGGGCCAACATGCCAGTTGCTGGCCCTTGTGGGAACTATAAAATAAGCTCACCACCACTTCTTTTGTTTCTCTTAAATGCATAATTCTCAAACCATGTTTTCTTGACATTTGCAAAGCACTTTGGTTTTTTCCTTTGACTTTCTGGCCTCAGTTTATTTCACTTTGAAGAGTACTCCTCCTCACACATGAATGCCCAGCACAGTATACCTCCTGCTAGGCTCAATGAGTGTGGAAGAAAGAAAGGAACAGAAATGCAAACATTTCTCTTCCATCCCCTTCCTGCTTTCTCTCTCTTCCAAATCTGTCTGAGTTACCTCAGGCAAGTTTCTTTTTTCTCCTTTTATTTTTGCTTTTGTAAGCTGAAAAATAGCCAAATTATGACCATTAATTAGGGTACAAATAGTTCAACAGTTATTGAGCATTTGTCCTACTAGATGCTGAAAATATGATAATAAATAGGACTTGCCCTCAGTCCAGAAGAAAGGAAAATCTATTCTAGTCAGAAATAAAGCAAGTCATAACTAATGAATTACTGTCTCACTGAGAATGCATCCAAACTCCTTCCCATCAGACCTTGCCTTTTCTGGGCCCTTCTAGCTCCCTGACTTCAGCTCATACCCCTTTCCATTCCCATCCCTTTCCAGACTTTCATCACACTTACCTTTCTTTTTCTTTAACTTCCGTAAACATTCCCAGGTGTTCCAGCTTCATGAAATTGGCACTTGTGACTCCTTTTCCCAGGAAGGCACTTCCCTTGCATGGCCCCTTCTCATTTTATAAATCTCAGCTCCAAGAATGACCCCTGTCTCTGACCCCCCAACATACTTCCCCCACCTCCTTCTTGGTCTCTCCCATAGCACCCTTCTTTTTCCATCATAGCACTTATCACAGTATGTAATTATTTTGTTTATTTTTTTAATTATTAATGTTAGAAATCATCTGTTTTATTGCTGTATTTCCAGCATCTAGCTTAGCCCAGCACATGTAGTAGGGACTCGATGAATATTTGAATGCTCTCTTGAACCAATCTGCATTATCAGCAGTCAAGCTCATTTATGTTTCCCTTCTCTCCATCTCTAATGCTTCTTTCACTCTTACCACCTTTTACCTGAACAGCCACTCCCAAACTGATTTCTCCAAGTTTCTCTCTTCACTGCAGTCTTCACATTGCTTTTAGAATGATCTTCCTGCAAACTGCCCATTTAATTCTGTCGTCTTTGTGCTGAAAATCTCTGCAAGATTGCTTATTAAATTTAAACTCCTTAGGATAGCATTAAAAACCCCTTCCTTCTAGGCCTCCAGCCTTGTCTTCCACCTTTTCCTACCCCTGCCCCCTGCTCTGCAGCCACATTGAACTTGTCACCATTTCCTTGTTTCTGCAGTGCTATGTTTTCATTTCTGTAATTCTCCCAATACTTACCCCACTTCCTGGAAAGCTCTCCATCCTCCCTCCCCCCAGACTCAAGTCAAGTGTCCTTCCATGAAGCCCTTCTAGACTCCTCCAAGGGAAATGGGTGCCTCCCCCTTCTGTGCTCCTGAAGCACTCTGGTCATAGCTCTTGTAGTACACATGGCAGTCTCTTTTAAGTAGCTGTTTGACACAACACTGTAAATTAACTATACTTCAATTTTTTAAAAATTGTAATAAGATTTTTTTTTTTTAAAAAAAAAGCTTTTTGAAAAATGTATCCTTACTGGACTAATGAATTTTTTAAAGAAATGAGCTATCATGGCCACCGTTATATTCACAACACACCTAGAGTTGCTCTTACTAGGTTGAATAGTATTAAATGATTGAATATTTGACCTGGAACATCAAGCTTGGTCTTCTGGCTGCATTATTCTTTGCCTGGTTAAAGAGGCTCTAAGCTGGATTCTCTGAAGAGAGTGTAAACAGATCTGCCATGGTACCTGGCTTTAATAACTTGTAAACTAGCTGAAGAATTAAGACTTTTGTGCATGAAATAATTAGAAAACAATACAATTTATAATAAAGTGTGGTATATAATAAAGTACTACATTCTTTACTACATTGTACTGTTTTCTAATACATCTAAATATAGTTGAGACCTTGAGAATGTTAAACATTCTAGAAAGTTGGCTGGATTCACTAGGAATGATATATAGAGTATTTACAGTTTGAAATGGATATTGAAGAATGAGTAGCATTTGGATTAGATAGGCTAAACAAAGGAGATCTTTTACTCCTTTGCCTATGGTCCTGTTTGTTTACAGACCTCACTAAATAGTATTATCGGTAAATGGTAGAGAGTACATGACGGTGCTGCTTGTAAATATCCTTTGGAGAAATTGCTGCTTCCCTGACACTTTGATTTTTATAAGCCTTAATGTTTTTACATTTTAGTCTGAAAGTGTTTGTGGTGTTTTAGCTAAATTAGTTTAACCTTTTTGGAGGTTTAACCACATCTTTTGAGGGAAAAGTCTTCCTTTATCATTTACTTGAGAATGTCTGAGACATTCTCAGCTAAGCGTACAGGGTGTGTGAACTGCAGCTGCCTTGAAACATGGACTTACCAGTAACCAGTCCAGTGTGATTTGTATTTTGATTCAATTGTGTAGAGATTGGAAAATCAACAAGATGTTGCTCTAACGGTATGTATTATTTTGAAAAAAATAACAATTGCTATCCCATAATATAGGGCATAGACTTTGAAGTTAGACTGCTGAGGTTCAAAGCCTGACTCCATATTTACTACTTGAATGACCTAGGGCAAGTTCCTTGTGCCTCTTTTTCCTCATGTGTAAAATGGTGATAACAGAAGTACCACCTGATGGGGTTGTTGTGAAGATTAAACATTATAATATATGTAAAATGCCCAGACCAGTGCCTGACACATAGTAAGTGCTTAGTAAAGAGGCACTCTCATTGTATCATATTGGCCAAGTGATCAAGAAAGAAAGGAAAGAAAAAACAAACTACTGATTGAGATATACTTTAAACTTCTATGCTTGAGTTTTGGTTATTTGTTGAATTACCTAATATGAGAATGGTGTCTTTCTTTCAAAAAAACATTAATTAATTTTTTAAAATTAGGAGTTTGTGTGGTCATTTAAAAATCATATTTCTAATACCTTTTGACTTTGGGCATTAATTTTCTTATTGATGAAATGTTACTTCTGGAAAAAAAGGAGGGGGTATTTGGTAGCATAAGATAGGACCTCATAAGCAAGATATTAATTAAAGTCTAGTGGTATAGAGTCTTTTATCACAGCATGACAGGTGTCTCTCTCTTTGGGCTGATGTTCAATGCTCCAATAACATCCAGAGGAACCTCTGTACCTCCTTTAGGAAAGGCACCCATGTTTAGAAAAAATGTGGGTTTGGATCACAGACCTGGGTGCAAATATAAGTTCTGATTTTTAATTATGTAACCTGCCTTGAACCATTTATTTGAATTTTCTGATCATCACCTTCTTCATCTCTGAAATAAGAAGAATAACAATTGTTAAAATGTCTCGCAGAGCATTACTTCCCTCAGAAATCAGTTTTAGGTTATTGCCTGTGTGTCTGTGTTAAATTCATGTTATTCCCTCTACGTCCTCTATCTAGAAGGTGCTGTCCTACTTTTCTCTGTCCTCACATTTTTTCTTATCTTTCAAAAGCTAGTTCAGATATTATCTATGTATGGATTCTTTTTTCTACAGCTGCAAACCACCTTGGCCTCTCCTTTCTCTGAGCTTCAACTAGAATTTAGTACAGTTTCATACTGATTGCTTTCACAATCAGACTGAGGGTTGCTTACATGCAAGGTTTTGGTCTTACCCATATTCTGCATCTCCTGCCATACCTAGCACTGTGTGGGGATGACGTCTTAATACCTTGTTTGAATTTTTCTACATAACTACTTCTCTCATCCACTTATTTAGCATGTTTAGAGATTTCAGGCTTTGAAATGCTCTTATGTTGGTATAAAGGAAATACAGGGAGCTAAAGGATAATTACCTAGAAAATACATTTCTTGGGAGCATTTCATTCTCCAAGTGAGTGGTAACTCATCAGACATGTATGTTGTATTTAGGGTTTATTAATCCATTCATATTCAAAATATATCTGGATGTGAATAGATTTCAAATCAGTGTATACTAACTAAATTTTTATTAAACTGATGGCTTTATTAGCATAGATTTATTCACTTGTGTTCTGAAGTTTTTTGTTTTTTGTGTTTTTTTTTTTTGCGGTACGCGGGCCTCTCACTGCTGTGGCCTCTCCCGTTGCGGAGCAACAGGCTCCGGATACGCAGGCTCAGCGGCCATGGCTCACGGGCCCAGCCGCTCTGCGGCATGCGGGATCCTCCTGGACCGGGGCATGAACCCGTGTCCCCTGCATCAGCAGGCAGACTCTCAACCACTGCGCCACCAGGGAAGCCCGTGTTCTGAAGTTTTACTTTGATATCCATACTTCCTTTTTTTCATCCTCACGTTTGTCCATGTGGTACTTTTTAATTCCTTAAATACCCAAATATGCTTTAAATCATGAATCTGTTCAAAATAATTTGGAAATTATTAAAACTTATTTCTTCAGTTGCCAAGGTAATCTCTCCCTTTGCTTTTCAGAGCTCCCTATGGGAAGTCTGTAGATATGTGGTCGGTGGGCTGTATTCTTGGGAGGGAGTACATGGCGTTGGACTCTAATACTTTACCATCCACTTAGATATTGCAAAATGTGAGTTGGCAGAGGGAAGGACAGAGCATCTGAATAAACTTGACCCTTTCCCCTCATTTTATTTAAAAATGTATTTGTTAATTTAGGAGCCTGTTTGCCTTCTGTTCCAACTTACATAAAGGAAGGAATTGAAAACAGGTCATTCAAAGAGTATATTAAAAGCAATAATAGAACATGTGTCCGAATTCATTATTTCTACTTCTGTAGCCTTTCAGGTACTGGCCTTTTTCTCTTTTTTTACTTCTCTAATTTTCAGGAGTAAATGATATGTTGTTGTGAAAAGGGTGTAAGAATTGTCTGTATAAGCAAATTCTATATGAACTCTATTCTAACCAAATTATTTGTATAAGTAGACAAGACTGTATAAACTGAATAAATAGTTTCAAATTTTTATATTTTGTTTTGTTTTACATGCTTCAGTGTTGTCCAACTAGATTTAAGTATCATCTTTCACTTGTGAGTTTTCCTGTCATTTAACACCCAATCCTATTAATCCCTACCTCAAATACATAGACACCGAAAGTAATATACATGTGAAATAAATTTAACTTTGGCACTAGGGCAGTAGCTTCTGCTCATCTGCTACCTTCTCCAACACTCAAAGCACATGCACACACATACCCTTACCTACGTGCTAATACTTCTGTCATGTTGTTGTTACAGTTTCCAGCTGTTAACCATCCTCAGTCATTGGAGAGAAGATACCTTGGAATTTTAAATAGCGTTTTACTTGACTTAATGAAGGTAGGACAAGTTGATGTTATCTGTACAAAATGTCTTTTGGTTTGTGATTTCTCTTGTGTCTATATATGACCAGAGCCTGCTTTTATGAATTAAATGTTTTGTTAATAGGTGTATAGTGGTGAATAATGGGGCACTGTGTCATCTGAAGAGGCATGCAATTTATTTATTTATTATTTTTTTAACGTCTTTATTGGAGTATAATTGCTTTACAATGGTGTGTTAGTTTCTGCTTTATAACAAAGTGAATCAGTTATACATATACATACAGCCCGTTGCAGTTTATTTAAAATTGCAGAAGTATCTGGTATTGTAACATTCCGTCTAGACAGGACTATGAGATACCTAAATTAGATTCCTAAAATGGACAGAATAGTAACAATCTAAATATAAATAATGAGAAATAAATCATTTAAAAATTTATCCAGCACTCAAGCTGCTCAGGCATAAGGTTTTAAAACAAATCTTAAAATGAATGTTGAAAGAAAAGAGATTCTAATATTTTTTGCATATTCAAGGCCTCCCATAAGATTATTTTATCAGCGAACCTAATTCTGCTCTTTTTCTAACTTGATTTCTCTCCCTCTGGCTCTTCATTTGACAACTGCAAAATCACTGCTACTACCATGCCTGAGTGTTCCTCCTCATGCTGGTGCCCCTGTGCAGAAGGTCTTCATGCTCTGGACTACTGAAAATGTTCTCACAGTTTTTTTTGGTTTTTTTAATAAACTTCCTTTTTTAAAAAATATTTATTTATTTATGGCTGTGTTGGGTCTTCGTTGCTGTGCGCAGGCCTTCTCTAGTTGCAGCGAGCGGGGGCTACTCTGTTGCGATGCATGGGCTTCTCATTGCGGTGGCTTCTCTTGTTGCGATGCATGGGCTTCTCATTGCGGTGGCTTCTCTTGTTGCGGAGCACGGGCTCTAGGTGTGCGGGCTTCAGTAGTTGTGGCTCGCGGGCGCAGTAGTTGTGGCTGGCAGACTCTAGAGTGCAGGCTCAGTAGTTGTGGCACACGGGCTTAGTTGCTCCGCGGCATGTGGGATCTTCCCGGACCAGGGCCTGAACCCGTGTTCCCTGCATTGGCAGGCGGACTCTCAACCACTGTGCCACCAGGGAAGCCCTCTCACAGTTTCTTATTCAAGCTTTTCTACCCAAGTAGATGGCCCCTTGAGTGAGAACTACTTTTTCATATTTCTCCAGTTTTCATTGCAGCCAGCCAGTGCATAAGCAAGTGCTAGTTATTTGATAGTAGACCTTCAAAAGATACTTCTTGGGTCTTCCGTGGTGGCACAGTGGTTGGAGGTCTGCCTGCCAGTGCAGGGGACACGGGTTCGAGCCCTGGTCCGGGAGGATCCCACATGCTGCAGAGCGGCTAAGCCTGTACGCCACAACTACTGAAGCCCGCGTGCCTAGAGCCCGTGCTCCTCAACAAGAGAAGCCACCCACCACAGTGAGAAGCCCATGCACCGCAACAAAGAGTAGCCCCCGCTCGCTGCACCTACAGAAAGCCATGCACAGCAACAGAGAGCCAAAGCAGCCAAAAGTAAATAAATAAAATAAATTTATTAAAAAAAGAAAAAAAGATACTAGTTAATGGATCAATTTTATTTTCTGCCCGTTCAGTCAACTGTCAAAAACAGAGGAGTTTACACTGTGCCCAGGACCTTTAAAGGCATACTTAGCACAGTTGGAAATTGCTGAGCAGCACTCTCAGAACTTTGCTCTGCTTTAAAACTATGTTAATCTGTGTTCCGAGGAGCCCTGTGTAAATAGGTGTGGGGGCAGAGGTGGGCAAGGGGGTGTGGCCTTTGGGAAAGGCCACTTACCATATAACCTTTCTTAGAGATTCACAATATTCATTAATTTATAAAGGCTTTCAGAAATCCCACAGTAAAGAAGCATTTCCCAAATTTAATTAAATACTAAATACTTAAAAAAAAATAAAATGCTACAGCACTAGTTCTGAACACAGATTGAGAGATGCTATTTAAAAAATCCTCAAGGCTCTTTAAGGTTAATTAGGCATAAATTATCTCTTAAATCATTTGCGTTATGTCATATGTTCTTTCACACAGTCAGTGTTTATTTATCAGGGCTTTAATTAGTTGGTAACTTTTAAAATGTAAATAGAGTAAAATAGAAGAACTGAAATACAATTTCGTGTTTTCTGCCTTTTGTCTCTTTTAGTTAAAAATAACTGAACTTCTTTTGTTAAATCATTACCAAATGTAATTACCAAGTATCAGCATAGCACCTGGTAAACGCTAACACAGATAAAAATACGAAGATAACCTGAACCATTATGCATTTACACCAGTTTGAAAGTTGAACAGTTGAATTCCCATTCATTTAATATATTTACCCTCAGATTTCTTTAATGTTAAATAAACATTTTATTGAAACGTATATTTAGAAGGTACACAAATTATAAATGTACCTCAGAGTAAAACTTTATAATGTAAACGTATCCATGTAACCCCACCCGGATTGAGATACAGGAAATTATTAACACCCCGGAAATCTCTTCATGACCCCTTCCCAGGTGCCCCTTCCCACTCTTGGAAACCAGGACTTTGACCTCTATCACCAAAGGTTAATACTGCCTTGTTATTATTGAATGTTATATAAATAGAATTATTCCTTTTGTCTTTTAGCTATTTTTGAAAATGAATTTGAAAAATAAATAGTACCATATATCCTTTCATGAAGAAATTTATTCTCTATGCCATCCCCTAAAGCAGATTTGATAATTTTGTCCATATATAAATACCTAAAATGGCCGTCTCATCCTGCGTCTATTTATACGTATCAGCCATTTTAGTGGGGATACAAGTTACCAGAATTAATCAAAGCTCCTAATAATATAAAGAATAGCTACAATAATTATATGGGCTCTATTTTAGTTAAAATTGTTTTTTCCCCCAAATACTGAATTTTGAAACTATTTACTAAGTTTCATACTTTCCTCATAATGACCTCATCCTTCCAGGTGTTTGAAAATTAACAGCTGTGTTCATACATATAAAAATAGTTCATTGTATGTGCAGCAATTTCTACCCTTGTTAATCTTAAATAAATGAAAATAGCACTTTAATGCTAGTAGATGTTTAGCTTCTAAAAGGTCATATGTACTTTAATTTCCTTTGTTTTTAACTAGTACCATACAGTTGAAACCATTTTGATATTAACTGCCTTAACTGCCAGTAAGACCAAAATCATTTCATATACCTCCATAGTTTTTGTTTTCTAATAAAGAAGGAGAAAGCATTGAGATAATTTTAGAGTTGTGTCTGAGTCAACGTAGGATAGGATACAATAGGATCAGAATTCAAATTTTCTGTGGTGCTAGGTTGAAGGTGGTTGTCTGAAATTGAATTCTGGCTTATTGAGAACAAATTGAGGTTTGTTCTCACTGTTCAGTAGTGGATCACAAAGAAATTGACTGTGGGCAAAGCCAATGAAAGTGAGCTAGAGACGCATTTGGGCATGCTGGAATTTCACCCTTTTTCCTTTCTCTGAGGGAAAATGCCCATCACTCAAAAGAACAAATGTCAGTGTGCTCTATTGAGTTGTGTTCGGTTATGTAGGTTATGCTTCTTTATGTATTTGCCTAACTTATCAATAAAACTCAATTAATTTTTAAAATAAATTTATTTATTTGTTTGTTTATTTACTTATTTTTGGCTGTGTTGGGTCTTCGTTGCTGCCTGCAGGCTTTCTGTAGTTGCAGTGAGCAGGGGGCTACTCTTCTTTGCGGTGCGCGGGCTTCTCATTGCAGTGGCTTCTCTTGTTGCAGAGCACAGGCTCTAGGCACACAGGCTTCAGTAGTTGTGGCACATGCGCTCAGTAGTTGTAGCGCACGGGCTTAGTTGCTCCATGGCATGTGGAATCTTCCCAGACCAGGGCTCAAACCCATGTCCCCTCCATTGGCAGACGGATTCTTAACCACTGCACCACCAGAGAAGCCCCAAAATCAATTAATTTTAATAATGATTCACCTTTTAAAATCTTGTCCAATTACTAATCAGATAAATAATGTTAGAAGAAAACATTTTAGTTGTTAAAAAAATTAGTACTTTAATAAAGAACACATACAAATAAATTAGGAAAATTACACAAATAGAAAAATATGAAAAGAAGGAATATAAGTAAACATAAAAATATTCAACCTCACTATTAATCAAAGATATGAATTAAAACAGCTGTGAGATACCATTTTTTAAATAGCTAATTTACAAGTATGTGCTAAAAAGAATGATAATGCCTATTATTGATGAGGGTGCCAGGAAATTGGTAGACTCTCAATTGCTCAGAGAAGTACTATTTGAGACAACCTTCCTAGGGGGTAATTTGGCAACACATAGAAGATAATCCTTAAGGGTTTGCATACCTACCAGTTCCATATCTGGGAACTTATCCTATGCAAGGGATCATGGATATATGCAACGGTTTCAGGTGTACATCACAGCATTAATTATAATAGTGCAAAGTGGCAGCCACCTAAACATCCAGCAATAAATCATTAAATAAATCATACCACAAACTTCCATGTAGTCATTTAAAACATGTTGTAAAGTTATTTGTTGCATCATTGTTCACAATATTAAAAGAAGGAAAACAAAATGCTGCCTAACGTACATCTAAAATTGAGGCTGTTTACTGATATGGAATGATCTCTTAAGATCTAATGTTGAGTGGAAAGAAAGCTAAGTGCAGCCTATTGTGTGTATGCTACTGTTTGGATAAAATAAAAGGAGCAGATAGAGATATGTACAAAGTACCTGTGGAAGGATTCACAAGATGCTGGTACCATGGGCTGCCTCCAGAGAGGAGGACAAGAAAAAGATGAAGAATGTATATTCTTTGATATGAATATATACTTATTTAAAAATATATTTTAGGGAATTCCCTGGCAGTGTAGTGGTTAGGACTCCGTGCTTTCACTGCCGAGGGCTCGGGTTCGATCCCTGGTCAGGGAACTAAGATCCCACAAGCTGCATGTTGCGTCCAAAAATAAAAATATATTTTAGATGTTTAAATTATGTTGTAAACAATATTTTTGATTAGTAAGTGAAAAGTACAGTATACAAAACTTATTTGTATAATATAAGCCAGATTTTAGAAAAGAAAAAATGTATACATGGTATTTTTTAAAGGGCTGGGAGGGCATATTCCCAGAGGACAACAATGGTAAGGTTATGGGTGATTTAGATAGTCCTTTAAAAAAATTTTTTTTGGACTAAACTCTGTTTGCTAGATATTCTGCAATGACCATGCATTTCTTTTATAAGGAAAAGAAATACGGTTTTTATTACAATTTAAATTTGACTTTGTGATGTTCTTTCCAATCCTAACTTCATTTCCTAAGAATTTACTGAAGTTGGACCCAGCTGACAGATACTTGACAGAACAGTGTTTGAATCACCCTACATTCCAAACCCAGAGACTTTTGGATCGCTCCCCTTCAAGGTCAGCAAAAAGAAAACCTTACCACGTGGAAAGCAGCACTTTGTCTAATAGGTAAATATTCCCTTTTAAGGAAATACAGATGCAGTATTGGTCTTACAAGTAGGTGGAGGAGGTGGCTGCTTAAATGATGCAATTAGAGAAAAGAAGGAAAGCCCTCCTTATTCAGAAATATCTTTCTTATGCTTATTGCATGATTCAGAACCATAATTAAAGAGTTGTGTGGGTCATAAAGACTTTATCTTTTACAAGATTTTCCAAGGGAAACCTATGCATTCCCTGGGAAAGGTAGCATGGGTTAGCAACTAAGGGGGTTTCTGGCCTCATAAGCTGGAAGATCCTGTGTACATGGGACCCAGGGGTGATTCCTGGAGGAAGAAGGATGGGTGAGGGCAAAGGGATTCCTGAAGGGAGCGGAGGATGCCAAACACAGGTGGGTGGGAAGGCACCTAGGACAACCTTTGCAACTGAACCAAGTAGTTCTGGCTCCACAGCAGGGGCTTGTGTTTTTGTTGCCCTTGTCTTTTAATCATTGAGTTGAGAAATTAGTTTTTCATAAGAATAAGAATATAGAAATAGTAAAGTTAGTTTGGTAGATAGTGATTAAAATGGATGCTTTCTAATGTAATTTTCAGCATAATCTTTAAAAAAACATCTATTTCCTGGGGCAGGGGAAGCAAGGAGGGGCACAAGGAGTTGGACCCTGCAATCAGGTTCTCTCCCCAAAAGTGACATTCCTTAATTCTGTTGGCTGCATTTTCAGGGGCAGATCCTTCCTCTCCTTGTCTTCCTTCCTCTTCCAAGAAGCTGGTCTTGTCATCTAGCATTGCTTAAATTATGGAAGATAGGAAATAGTTTATCTTATCTACTATTAGAAGAGAAGTAGAAAACAATAATTCTTAATATGAAGCTTTTCTTATATAAGTTTTTTCCCATATCCCCCCTTTCTCTCCACATAGAACAATTATTATTAATTTTTTTTTTGTGGTACGTGGGCCTCTCACTGTTGTGGTCTCTCCCGTTGTGGAGCACAGGCTCCGGACGCACAGGCTCAGTGGCCATGGCTCACGGGCCCAGCTGCTCCGCGGCATATGGGATCTTCCCGGACCGGGGCATGAACCCGCATCCCCTGCATCGGCAGGCGGACTCTCAACTACTGTGCCACCAGGGAAGCCCTGAACAATTATTTTTAACCAATTGGAATTTTGAAAGCTTAAGACCTGGTACTTTTTAGATCTGTGAGTGCATCTATAAATAAGCAATAACCATTTACCCTGTATTTTCTCTGCTTAACTGCGATGGTGTGATTGTGTTTTATAGCTGTTCTCTATTTAAAATGAGTGGTTTGGTCATTGTTTCCCTCACATCTTATAAAACACTCTTACCTGTTTGTTTTCAAGGAGGCCTGGGAGGAGATTCAAATTCTATTTCGCCAAGTTTGTGTTCACTTTGTTGTCAGTTTCCATGAGATCAGTGCACTAAGGCAAGGACCAGTATTCATCTTTCAGTTGCTCCTTTGAGTTTAGGAGGTTCACATTATGCCTGTGTCTTATCTGGGGTCACTCCCAGTTCAGGTGCTTTTGTCTCCCTTCTACCTTGATTGTCACTTGACTCCTCTAGTTTACATTTGCAAAGAAGAAGGATCTCAATAGAAAGTTCAGTAGACTGATGATAAATTTTTGATTTGTGCTATAGTGATGGGTGGTATAACCATACCATAAAAGGAGGCCTGTGTATTCATCCTGTAATGACTCACTTGGGAGAAATCCCCATGGGGGTCCATGGCTCTCCTTGGGAACCCTCTTCAGGCATCTGTCAAGGAGGATGTGTGTGGCCATGAGGATACGGTTCATATAGGTTTTTGAGGAGTCCTACAAAATCTCCTTTTGAAGCAGATGAGAATAAAAATTATAAGTAAATAAAAATCTCTGGAAGAATTTGTTTTCAGGTCTTGACACTGTATTAAATATATTAAAGAAACAGTCCTAACTGGTTTCTCTAGGAAAGAAACCATTAGCTCAGTTTACACATATCTGGAAATATTTCTGCTCCACGCTTGCCTACGGTCCATATTTCCTCCATGGAAGCTCTTGTTGGGGACACTAATTCTGCACAAACCATGGCTCCGTTGGACTTCCTAGCACCATTGTAGAGATGTTCAGGGCACCATATCGTGTTGGTGCCCTGCCTTGTCCCTGAGACAAGTATCGTCATACACATATCCTCACACACCCTGTCTTCTGTCTTCCACGTTCATGTCTCTGTAGGAGAAGCAGTGGACTCTGCATTACCTAGCCCTTGCCTAAGTCTCCTTCATACTCTCCTGAGGTTCCGCTTACCTTGGACATGGTGGGATGGTGCTTCATCCTGCCACACACTGCCCTCTCAGCAGTCCTGCTTCGCCAGTCTTCCCCATAAAAATGTAGTTTTGCGTCTTTGATGTTTGGTTTGAAAAGTTATTTTAACTAGAAATTAACCATCTATCTATCCATCCTGCCAACCATTTAAGAAGGGTTTATATATAAAATCCTCTTAAGTGGTTGGCAGTTTAACACAGATTCCTTACAGTTGTGTGTCAAAGAGATATATGGAATTTCTAAAGCAGTTTTTTATTGTGCTTTGGCAGAGCTCCAATTTGAAGACAGTATGATGTCCTTTCGATGTAAGAGTTGTGTGCAGAGCTCAGTGGCTTCAGATTAATACCAAGACAGAAACTTTCAGAATAGTGGTTTAGGCACTTTGTACATTTATGGGAAACCTAACTCTGTGACAAATGTTTCCACCTTAACTTTATAGCCTCTCTTTTCACATTAGAAATTATATCTTATGTTACTATGAATATGTTCTTCGTAACATACGTAGGTTTGTGCTCCACATTGAGAGCAGTGTTTCCAAGAGTTTCAAAAGCTGTAGCAGCTATCTTCACTCTTCTCTACCCTTTTCTGGATGTCCTCTTTGGAGCTTTGGACATTTCACAACATCTGCATGAGTTATCTCTGCGATTACCCTCTCTAGGCCTGAAGGAGAAAGAGGAAGAAATAGGGTTTTGAGAGTCCAGGGGAGCCAGGCAGGGGAAACCACCCTGTGGGAGCTGTAATCTAGAGGCACAGCTATGATCTGAGTCAGGGAGCCACTGCCGGGGGAGACAGCCCCCAGCCCCTTGCACTGCTAAGCCCAACTGGGAGTTAGGTGACAAGGGAGGCTGGGTGACACTCTTCAGTGTTGGGTTCCCCAGACCCAGGCTGGAGCAGAGAGGAATGGAGAATGGACTGGGGGTTGGGCACGTGGGAAATAACCAACACACTTACATCTATTTATGGGTGAGACTGTCTATCATCATTTGGGTTTTTTGAGAAGTTGCTGAGATATTTTAGTTACCAGGATGTAAGTTGACAAACAACTCTAATGGTTTAAAACCTGACATGAGGACTGTCCTCTATAGATCTGGAGATAGACTCTGTTAACATCATTTAACAGAAAGTGAAACTTTCCTTTTTTTGTAATTTCTTTCTGGGTCTGCCATTTAGTTAGCTCATATTTTTCTTTTTTAAACAAAATTCACATTTTATTTAGGTTGAAATAAACTATACAAAATTGATTTTCTTCACCCAAAATAACAGCAATATCTTCTGTATTATTCCTAGATAAACCGTAAAACACTTATTTTTGTAGGTTTTCTAGGTTTTGCTTGTAAATCAAGATGAGGCAGTAGATACAGTCACGGAAAAAGACAGAAGAAGACAGACAAATCAGCTGTCAGTATCCATGGCCTCTGATCCTGCCAGTTAGCTCATATTTAAGTGACCTTCTTTAATGTTGCAATTTTTGTGACCCAATTGGGAGAGATATTAGTAAGTGCGTTTTGGAGATGAGGCCTTCCACACTATTACAGGCATGCTTGATATCAGATACTTTTTAACACTCCTCTGCAAGGTAGGAGGAAAGGATGAGGGCCCTTACCTTTGATGCCTGAACGAGTGGATTCTCATAGACAAAATAGGAAGGCATAGTTTCACAGATTACCACTCTACAGGGGAAAAAAATGGGACTTTTCCTCTAATTAGTGTGCAATGGGAACAAAACTCTCCCAGATCAAACCGTCTTTAGCAATAGCAATTTATGCAGCAAATTTTTTGGAATGCATAGTAAAAAGGGAATTGTGTAAGTTATTGTTCATTTAAAAGCATTCTTACCTATCTCAAACCACAATTTGGTCCTTTAAATAGTTACAGTAGAACAAACTGACCTTGCTGTGATGTCAGCTTCAGCTTTCAAATAGAGGACAGGGTTTTCCTCAGGATTTATATTTTGTATTTTAAACCAAGTAGGAAATGAAGCTTTCAGTCCTAAAGATTTCAGTCCAGATGAAGCCTCAGCCCATTTGTAATAATGAAGTGTGAAATGAAGAAGAGAATAAATTATGTCTTTTGGAGAGAAATTACCTGTTTAGATCCAGTTAGAGACATGCTCCTGTTTAGTGTACAGGAGGTATCTGACACTGACATGCCCCGAGTATTGCTGCTTCTCTAATACATAAACGTTGATCATCCTGTTTTCCAACAAACCTCACTAGGCAGTTCACACTTCTTTTCAGAGTATCATTTTCTTTTCTTGAGTACCTTGGTAGAATTCTCATTTGTTGATTATACAGGCTAAAGACAAAAGACATTGGTGCTTGTGTGTATGTGCTGTGAGTGTGTATCTCTGAGGCAGGCTGTGAGTTTTACAAATAAAAACGAAGTTCAAGGAACACAGTGATCTGCAAGTCTAAACGTCTCCTTCTGATGTTCAAGCAGACAAAGAGTCATAAAGAGTTTGCCTATAGCTCAGCCCTCTTCTTCTTTGCAGGCTTTCTACAGTACACACGCATGTGAGCACCAACATAGCAAAAGCATGTTTGCCCAGATTATCAGTTAGAAGCTGTGTTGGCAGTAAGTTAGCTGAGCATTTAAGAATGCCAAAGCACTTCATCAGGACCAGTGCTTTGTGGCAGAGTGACTTGATCTAAGCAACTTAATTCTTATTGATAGATTACATGTTATTTATAGTCACATGTTTGAGAGAGTTACTGTTTTTAGTCTTTGCAGTGTTTTAGGTATTTGTTCTTTTTTGTTCTAATGATACTTTTTGTGCCTCTGCTCTTGAGGGAAACTGATATACTTCTTTCATTTTTGACATAGAAACCAAGCCAGCAAAAGTGCGGCTTTGCAGTCTCATCACAGATCTAACAGCAAGGACATCCAGAACCTAGGTGTGGGTCTGCCCCGGGCTGACGAAGGTCTTCCTGCCAACGAAAGCTTCCTGAACGGAAACCTTGCTGGAGCTACTCTTAGTCCCATGCACACCAAAACCTACCAAGCGGGCAGCCAGCCTGGGCCTACCAGCAAAGATCTGACCAACAACAACATACCACACCTTCTCAGCCCAAAAGAAGCCAAATCAAAGACAGAGTTTGATTTTAATATTGACCCAAAGCCTTCGGAAGGCCCGGGCACGAAGTACCTCAAATCAAGCAGCAGATCTCAGCAGAACCGGCACTCATTTATGGAAAGTTCTCAGAGCAAAGCCGGGACGCTGCAGCCCAGTGAAAAGCAGAGTCGGCATAGCTACATCGACACCATTCCCCAGTCCTCTAGGAGTCCTTCCTATAGGACCAAGGCCAAAAGCCATGGGGCATTGAGTGACTCCAAGTCTGTGAGCAACCTTTCCGAAGCCAGGGCCCAGATCGCAGAGTCCAGTACCAGTAGGTACTTCCCATCCAGCTGTTTGGACTTGAACTCTCCCACCAGCCCAACCCTCACCAGGCACAGCGACACAAGAACTTTGCTCAGCCCCTCGGGGAGAAATAACCGAAGTGAGGGCACTCTTGACTCACGCCGAACCACAACCAGGCATTCCAAGACGATGGAGGAGTTGAAGCTGCCCGAACACATGGACAGCAGCCATTCACATTCGCTGTCTGCGCCTCATGAATCCTTTTCGTATGGGCTTGGCTACACCAGCCCCTTCTCCTCCCAGCAGCGTCCACACAGGCATTCCATGTACGTGACCCGGGACAAAGTGAGAGCCAAAGGCTTGGACGGAAGCTTGAGCGTAGGGCAAGGGATGGCGGCCAGAGCCAACAGCCTGCAGCTCTTATCACCTCAGGTACAACTTAGGACCTTGACCAGATCTATCGGCTCATCATGGAAAGGTGGTGCGGGGATGTGATGGGGTCAGTGTGCAGTTGTCCCTACAGCAGGAGGTCATACTTTCTTGATAGGACACATTTAAGGAAGCAATACTTGAAGGACTAATCTGTTAAAAAAATTTTTTTTAGTTACTTAAGCTAATTGTTGAGTACTCAACGCAGAAAGCTTTTTTTCAAAATCCGTTTTCCTTTCTTAAATGTTCCTTTCTGGCATATTTTGTACTATTTTTTTTCATTAATTTTTTATTGAAGTATAGTTGAATTACAGTGTGTTAATTATTGCTGTACAGCAAAGTGACTCAGTTATACATATATATACATTCTTTTTCATATTCTTTTCCATTATGGTTTATCACAGGATATTGAATATAGTTCCCTGTGCTGTACAGTAGGACCTTGTTTATCCATTCTGTATATACCAGTTTGCATCTGCTAATCCCAAACTCCCAATCCAACCCTCTCTCACCTCCCTCCCCCTTGGCAACCACCAGTCTGTCCTCTATGTCCCTGATTTTGTTTCTGTTTCATAGATAGGTTCATTTGTGTTGTATTTTAGATTCCACATGTAAGTGATATCATATGTTATTTGTCTTTCTCTTTCTGACTTAATTCACTTAATATGATACTCTCTGGTTGCATCCATGTTGCTGCAAATGGCATTATTTCATTCGTTTTTTGGCTGACTAGTATTCCGTTGTATATATGTACCACATCTTCTTTATCCATTCCTCTGTCGATAGACATTTAGGTTATTTCCATGTCTTGGCTATTGTGAATAGTGCTGCTGTGAACATAGGGGTGTATGTATTTTTTTGAATTATAGTTTTGTCCAGATATATGCCCAGGAGTGGGATTGCTGGATCATATGGTAGCTCTATTTTTAGCTTTCTGAGGAACCTCCATACTGTTTTCCACAGTGGCTGCACCAACTTACATTCCCAGTAGCAGTGTAGGAGGGTTCCCTTTTCTCCATACCCTCTCCAGCATTTGTTATTTGTAGACTTTTTATTGATAGCCATTCTGACCGGCATGAGGTGGTACCTAATTGTAGTTTTGATTTGCATTAGAGAATCCTAGTTTGATTTATTACAGAATTCATCAGCTATATGGGTTAGTTTTTAATTTTCTCAAAATTCAGTGTGAATTCATGGGAATTTTCTCTAATCTCTCCAAACCACATTTGCTTAAATCAAACCCTTTTGCTAATACCTTACTCGATATCTTAACTGAATTGAAAAGTTTTAAATTTATCCAGAACTATAGGTAAATATAACTTCAGGCCAGGATAAATGCTAATTTTCAGTCTTTTGGGTTGTTTTTAAATCCCAAGGCAATGTTTTTAGCATAATGCTGCCTCTATCTTACTGATCTTCAGGCTCTAGAACTGACACTAACCTATTTAAAAGAAGCAGCATTCTTGTAACAGAACACATATTTTTAAAATTATATTTTCGTGATATGAAACATTCACCTGCATCAAAGAAATGAAGGTGGAGAAAAACCAATGTTAGAAGAAGAAAAGAGTGTCATGTAGCAAAAGTACTCTCCTTTTAGAAGATACAAAAATTGGTTCATCGGCATGTGTCAGAGCTCCAGAAAATAAGATGGACTGTGCAGTGGGAAGCTTAGCAAGATCAGTGCTGGGGAGGGGGAGACTGTCAATAACTGAGCAGTTGGTATAGCAAAGCAGCTAAGATCTTGAGCTGGAAAGCCCGGCAGCCAGTCCTGCAGTGTGCTTCAAACTCTGTAAATTTGGGAAAGTGATAATCTTTCTGTGCCTTGATACCTCATCTGAGTGTTGTTGTGAGGATTAAACATGGTGTATAAAGCACTGTGTGCCCTATGCCGGGCACAGAGTAAATGTCTTAGTTGTTGCTACTGCTTTTGGGATGATGGGGGCTGTTCTTCAGGCACTGAATACCTTCTCTATGCTGGGTATTCTTGGGCACTCAAAAGAGTCTGAGACAGGGTTCTTGCTCTTGAGAAATTTATCTTCTCTCAAGGAAGATTAAATTATACATGATAAAAATGAACTAATTAAGAACCACATTTCTGTGGCACTGGCTATAAAAGGTACTTGAGGACAGGGAGAGGTCATTGTGAGCAGGAGCAATCAGAAGTGGCTTTAGGAGCAACTGAAGGTCTTGCTTAGAGCTCAGATGTGGAGAGAGGTTTTGTGGCTAAAGGATGAAGACGTATTCAGGCATTTACTGAGCTAGGCACAATGATAGGCTCTGATGAAAAAGATGTGGTCCCCGTCCTCTTAGAATGTATGGGCTGGAGGTGGTGGGATGACACTTGCCAATAGATAGGTAGTAATAATACTGTAAGGCTGCATGCCCACACTGTGCTAGAGCTGTGTGCACCGCAGGGGCAGAGGGGAACAGGGACAGAGGGGAGTGGCACAGTCCCAGCGGGGGGTTGTAGGAGGCCCCCAGGGGGCAGGGGTGGAATCTGAGCAGAAACTTCTGAGATGTTGGGGGTTTCACCAGTGGAAGAAAGTAGAGTGGACATCAGGAAAGAGGCTCGAGGGAGGGCCAAAAAGGGTATCTGGAAGTTAAGGAGGATAATTGAGACATTAAGTAGCATGGTGAGTTGTGGGATTGCAACTTGGGCCACGTGGCTTGAGTGAAAAAATGCAAGATTTAGAGTGGCTTTTGCAATAATCCAAGCATGGGGTGAGGAGAAATACGTTCTGGACTAAGTCAGTGCCAGTGGGAAGACAGAGAAAGTGTGGGTCTAAAGACCCCTCAGAAGTAGAAACGGGACTTGTGAATTGAAAGATTGAATATAGAAAAAAGGAAGCCTTCAAGGTTTCTCTTCTTGGAGCTCCTTTTCAGAGTAGAAGAGAGGACTTGAAGTCACCTCATTCAACCCCTCCATTGCACAGATGAGCATGCTGAGGCTCTGAGAGGTTAGGTGGATTGCCCGAGTTTACCCAACTAGTTCAGGGTGGAGCTGGGATCTTGAGGCAATGTCCAGGTCCGTAGGCCAGAGCTTTTTGCATCATGTCATGCTGACATATTGAGGTTGAAGAGTGACCCTGGGCCCCTATGCAGAGATGTTCTCCATGAGGTTGGAAAGACTGTCTGGGGCCCAGGTGAAAGGAGGGGTAGGAGATGTCATGATTGGAGTCAGAGCAGTCGTCAGAGGAGCCCCTCTAGAGAGAAGGGATCATTTAGGGCCTAGAAAGATCTCTAGAGTCTGGCAGCTACACATAGATGTTACATGGAGGTCAAAGCCAGTAAAGTGTGTTAGCATTAAGCATAGTGTAAATAGAGAAGAAGTTAAAAAAAAAACAACTATACCTTGGAAAATGGACAAATGGACTGGCTCTCTGAGAGTGCTAGAGAAAAGGCTTCATGAACATGGTGGAAATAAGCTAATTATAAAACAATAACTGTCGGCTAAACACAGATCCAACTGTTACTGAATTTTAAGTCCAGTTCAGGAAATGCAGTGCCAAGCTGCAAGAAAGTACAAGTTTAAAGGCACAAAGATGGCATATGGCTTGAAAAGTAACTGAAGCTGTGAATAATGATGGGAATCACTCTCCTGCAAAGTACTGTAGGCACCTTCAAGAGCAAGGGGACTGGACTGGCTCTGTCGCTTAGAGTTTATGTTAGATGTAGAGGTCTTTGTAAACAATGCATGTGATAAAATTCAAATGAGATCTTGTCACAAAGTAGAAAGAAGAAAGGCTACATTGGGTAATTTCCTGCCCAGAATCCTTTCGTAGTACATTTGGGGAGTGAGGGGAAGAAAGAGAAAACCATATTTTAAATCTCAAATAAACTGGTTTTGACACACCATGTAAGGCTCAAAATAATTTTCTGTGCATAATATACAGATATGCAATTCAGCTAGCTCCTCTGAATGGCTTGGTAATTTTATTCCTTAATCTTTTTTTTCTGAGGGTAGAAAATGCTACTTTTCCCCTCAATGAACACGACTGTGGACCAAGGCTGCTTTTAGCTTGTGACTCACTTCCTTGAGAGAAATAGGTAGTGTCTCCGGAGATGAGTGCTGTCGTGATTATTAAGAAAATACATGAAGTATAAGTACTTTTAACCTAGAGAAGATTAAGAAGAGAACTTAAGTACAAAAACTGCAGTAGTTAGGGAATTTTTAAGACAAATTATTAAGGGTACTGATTCAATTCCTTGATATATCCAAAGAACATTTGTTTTCATCTTAATCTGCCATGTAAGTCCTTCATGAAATATAATTTTGCATCTGTAGTTCTTTTTTGAGAACTCAGCCTAAAATCTGCTAGAGAAATTTTGGATTAACTAACAGAATCTCTATTCTAATTGAGTGCTGCTCAGACCATGACTTTCTAGATATTAGGAAGATAATTTTCTTTATTTTTAATAATTAATTGAACTATTTTCAGAGTAATTCATTCCCTGCTTGCATTAACTTTAATGAGAATTTCACTTTCCATCTGTGTGACATTTGTTTGACTTATTTTACATTCATCAGATGATTCACTCTTTTATAGGACAATTTGTGTTTTAACCAATTCACATGTTTAATTTTAGCCAGTTAAGGTACTGGTTATACCAAATAAAACCCATGGCGATTTAGGTGATTTTCATCCCTAGGAACAGGACACTCTTATAAATCCTTTGAAATTTGACTTCCAGCCCGGAGAGCAACTGCCTCCAGAGATGACTGTGGCGCGATCTTCCGTTAAGGAGTCCTCCAGAGAAGGCACCACTTCATTCCATTCACGGCAGAAGTCTGAGGTCTGAATTTTCTAGAGCTGTTACCTTGTACAATAGAACATGTCTGTAAAGATTGGTCACTCAACATCATTACAGTCTACCTTGTAAGATTTATTCGTACCCAATCTCCCACAGATTATTCGAACTGGCTTATAAAGTAAGCAGTTTTCCTCATGCCATAATTATGAGTTTTCTCTTAAATAGATCCCGGAGTAAATTATAGATCAATTAGGCACCTTTCTACGTTCACAGGTTGCCTCATTATCTCTCTGTTGTTTACTTTTTGTAAACCTATTTTTTATCTCAGGGTGGAGCGTATCATGACCCCCACTCTGATGATGGCACTGTCCCCAAAGAAAACAGACACCTGTACAATGATCCTGTTCCGAGGAGAGTTGGCAGCTTCTACCGAGGTAAACCCAGCTCCTAGCACCCATCAGGGTCCTCTCTTCTCTCCCCCCCACTACACATCCAGGCTGCACTCTCCCCTACATTTCACTGCCCTGACTTCCGGTAAGTGTCATTCTTACCTGCACTACTGCCTTCCACCTCGTCTCCCTGCCTTGGTTCCCTCTGTCTTAGTTCAGACCCTTGTGGCTTCTGACTTGGGTACTTTGAGTAGCCTCCCAACTGCTCTCCCTGTCTCTAAGGTCACCATCAAAACGGTCCCTGGAATGATCCTTCTGAAGCTGTGTTCTGACCACACCACTCATTCATTCGATTAAGTCATAACATATATATTTTTAAATTTATTTATTTTTGGCTGCGTCAGGTCTTAGTTGTGGCACGTGGGATCTTTCTTTGTGGCACGCAGGCTCTTCACTGTGGCACGGGGGCTTCTCTCTAGTTGTTGCGCGCAGGCTCCAGAGCGCGTGGACTCTGTAGTTGCAGCGCGCAGGCTTAGTTGCCCTGCGGCATGTGGGATCTTAGCTCCCCGACCAGGAACTGAACCTGCGTCCCCTGCATTGGAAGGCGGATTCTTAACCACTGGACCACCAGGGAAGTCCCAAGTCTTAAAATATTTATCGATGTCACTTGTATGTCTGACACTTCTAATTTAGAACATCAGTGAACAAGACAGCCAAAGGTCTCGACCCTCACAGAGTTCACATTCTCATGAGGAGAGAGCAACACTAAATGTAATAATTACATAGAGCAGTAAAAGATAATAAATGCTACAGGGAAAAAAATACAGCAGGACAATCCATTGCCTCCACCCCAGCCCCAGTCCTCTATCTCTCATCTGCCGAGAGTCCTCTGGCGACTTCCCATTGGCATCAGGACAAAATCTGAGTTCCCTAAGATGGCATTCTAGACTTTCTCTGCCCTGGCCCTTGCTATCCTCTCCAGCTCATCCTCCTCCACTCTGGTGCCCAGCCTGTGGGACTCACACAGGCCGTGCCCTCCTCTGACCTGAATGCAGTACTCCCCCTGCTTGGACAACTTGTTTCTGTCCCTTTTGAGATTCTGCTTTGAGGTCCTCTGCAGTGTGATGGCTTCCCTGCCCACCTAGGTGAAGTGAAGTGTTCCCTCTTTTGTTCCGCCCATGGCCCTCTGTCTCTAACATGACACACACCACATGGTACTGATTCTTTGTTTGCATTTCTCTCTCACAAGGTTACAAGGCCCTTTACCTTTTCCTCTTTTACCGTCATTGACTAGCACACTGCCTGGCAATTTCATAAATATTTGTTGATTGGATGAAAGAAAATCTTCAAGTGTACTTGCATGACCTTAAAAATGTGCTTTGGGGCTTCCCTGGTGGTGCAGTGGTTGAGAGTCCGCCTACTGATGCAGGGGACATGGGTTCACGCCCCGGCCCGGGAAGATCCCACATACCGCGGAGTGGCTGGGCCCGTGAGCCATGGCCGCTGAGCCTGCGCGTCTGGAGCCTGTGCTCCGCAACGGGAGAGACCACGACAGTGAGAGGCCCGCATACCATAAAAAAAAACAAAAACAAAAAACAAAAAATGTGCTTTGATGTTTGACACCTGTAACAGATGTTTCAGTGGCTGAATGGATTTAGGACAGATTGAGAGAGAAAGGTATCACCTTTAAGGAGCTATGTAGTAATAGAGTGGGAGCCCCCAGGAATCCTCAGACCCTAGTGGTGAGACTGGCAGTAAGCCCACTCAGTAAGCCTCCTGAGTCCGTGAGGCTCAGCTTCTCAAAGCCTCCTTCAAAGGTCACCACGACCTTCTACAGTTGCCACATCCACACTGCCCACCTTCTCATTATTCTGTTGATCTGGGAGGACAGCTGGAAAGGGCAGGAACTGGGGGGTAACACGGACAACTGCTTGGTCATTTTAACTAGGAACCTGAGCTAAATAAATGCATACAAGTGTTATGCAGGACATAATGTATATTGAATGATTAGGCTACTCTGTTCCCTCCTAGCCCAACCTTTGAGAAAAGTATAAGGCATTGAATATGCCTTTTGATGCATTTATTATTCTTTTTTCTGATGCCATGGGTACTTTAGAACCTTATGGGACTAAAATTTTAATTCATATTAAAGTTAATTAAACATGGGACTTCCCTGGTGGCGCAGTGGTTAAGAATCCGCCTGCCAGTGCAGGGGACACAGGTTCAAGCCCTGGTCCACGAAGATCCCACATGCCGTGGAGCAACTAAGCCCGTGCACCACAACTACTGAGCCTGCGCCCTAGAGCCCGCGAGTCACAACTACTGAGCCCGTGCACCACAACTACTGAAGCCCGCACGCTCTAGGGCCTGCGTGCCGCAGCCACTGAGCCCACGTGCCTAGAGCCCATGCTCCACAACAAGAGAAGCCACCCAATGAGAAGCCCTTGCACCGCAATGAAGAGTAGCCCCCATTCACCACAATAGAGAAAGCCCACGTGCAGCAACGAAGACCCAACACAGCCAAAAATAAATAAAAATTTTTTTTTAAAGTTAATTAAACAAAATATTGTAGTGTACATATAAGCAAGTCTTTTCTTCTCTCACTGTAAGTTTTACGTGCAAAGTGGATCATACATGTTTTATTTCTATAGATGTCTGGAGAGTATACTTTAATATTAAAATGTTAACTAAGTTTTCAATTAATTAATTAGTCCTTGACTTCTAGAAACACGGTTTTATTTTGATTGCAAGTGAATTAACTAGGTTACTATCAGCAAAGCCCCTCATAATCGACTTCACTGTTTGGCAGGAAGAACATTTTTATTTTAGAAAGTCCAGAAATAGAAGGAAAAGATTTAACTAGGTGAAACATTTGGAGACATCGCTTGTTTCAATCATGCTACTAAATCTAACTGGATAAAGATTTAGTGGTATCATTGAAACGACAGATTTTTTAGTATATTTCCCATTTTCAGTCCTGCTGGCCAAGAGTCAAGTAGTATGGTGTCATTTGTCTTTATATACAGCCTGTATATTCCTTTTGTGATGAAATTTGCAATATATTTTCATTTATGACCAAGCTTAGAAATTGATAGAAAAAGATAATACCCACCCACCTCCCAAAGAAAAGCAGAAAAGTATTTACTCACATACATCGTGGTTTGTCTTTTTGTTTATTCCTGGATTGAAAACTTAGAGAAAAATAGTATTTTTGTAAAAATAACCAAATTTCTTTGGAATTGAGTTTTAAAAAATATAAAATTGATGCCACCTCCCAAGTGGCAAGGGTTAAACTGTAGTTTGTGTATTCCAGTACACATACTGTTAAGAATCACTTCACACTAAGAATAGATTTTACGTAGTTGGGCCTATGATGTAAGAAAGCCTCAACTTAAAAGAATGTCAAAACACGGAGATGGGGATCATATTCATACTTTTAAGTCTCCTACGATGTTCTCCAGTTTATCAGCTGATACATCAATTTATGCCTTGAATATATATTGCCTGGTGTTAATTGACCCTTGCAAGTTACTGTCATAGGCAGTTGGAGGTGGGGGGAATGCTCCCTGGAATGCCTCCAGCCTCAGAAAACATACGAGTTATATGAAGGACAAATAAGGATTTTGACTTATCTTTTTGTTAGTTTATTTTGTTTGTGTGAGAGAAAGTGCAATAGAACAACATGAGAACTGCTTTAACCAAAAGAGTATATCAGTGGCTTACTTTTTCTTCATTCAGTGCCATCTCCACGTCCAGATAATTCTTTCCATGAAAATAATGTGTCAACCAGAGTCTCTTCCCTACCGTCAGAAAGCAGTTCTGGAACTAATCACTCAAAAAGACAACCAGCATTTGATCCATGGTGGGTATTTTAGCTTGTTTTTACTCTTCTTTTTTCTAATTGTAGATTTTAGATTTCATAGAAATTCTGGATAAAACTTTTTAGCGTTCTTTCCCCTGCTAGGCCTTTCTTTCTAAAGAGAGATTGTTTAATAAGGGAAATGTGATTTGTCATTATTTGTAATAGTTTCTTTCATGTTCACCATTTATATTAAATACGATGTAAAAGAAAGAAAATATCCTGGGTCAGTACATACCTCATAAGTCTTCCATCGCCTTCTTCTGACATGATTGATGTCCTTTGCTGTCTTCTCCACTTGTTGCTGTTGAATCATGTAGGAGACACTTTGCTTAGCTCTTTGTGTGCACTGTCTCACTCAGTACTCACAATCAGCCTTTGAAGTAGGGGTGCCTCCCACTCTCCAGATGAGGAAACTGCAGCTTAGAAAAGGTAAGGAGCCTGCCTGGTGCTGAACAGCCAGAAACAGGGAGGAGGGAGCCGGGATCTAGACCTAGATGCATTCTGACTCTGAAGCTCATGTCCTGTACTTCTGTGCCGCCTGACTTTCATTCAGGGTGAAAAGAGAGAAATAGGGGAACAACCCTTCATGCTACCACAAAAATGTACTGGTAGTCAGAGGATAAAATGATGTGCCAGTTTTGCTTATCCTTTAATCTTTGTGTCATGTGTAATAAAAATTTAAGGAGAGAATTATAACATACATCAAGTCTCATTAGCAGATCTTGTCTTAGGGGTAGGACTATTTTTTTAATAATGTAGACTTTATATTCTCAGCTCCCCAGAAAGACTTCCCAGAATCTAGATGTGAGGGGTGTTTAAGTATTTCATACAGCTGCTAAGCTCCCCACCAAGAGAATAAAATGGTGCCTCATTGTAACTCACTGAATTGAGAACGAGACCAATCTGTCAGATTCCATCTCTGCTGTTTACTGCCAGAATTCACACAATTTGGACCCTGTTGGCAGGGTTATATCAAGGTTTCAGTGTTACCATGCCCTATGCGGAAAATAACTTACTTATTTTTACAATAATAAAAACGGTTTTCTTAAAGCTATAAATACTTTTTCTTTTGTAAGCATACTTTATATCTATCGCCTTATTTATAAAATGAGAGTTTTAACATTAATGACTCAGAGGTTAGACCCTGGAAATAGGATATCTTGACTAGTGTCACCTTTTGGCCATGTGACCTTCAGTTCTCTGCCCCTCAGTTTCCTTGTCTGTAAAATGGGCTAAGAATAGCACCTCCCTCATTGGGTAAATATGATCGTTAAATGAAGTCAAACATCAAAAGCATCTAGAGCAGTGCCTGGCACCGTTGTGACTTGTTAACGTTAGCAGCCGTGGTTTTTGCCATTAATGTTCTCTAACTTCAGTATGACTTGCCAGGTGTCTCGTCTCCACTTACTTTGCTGATGAACTTCAGTGCATTCTTCCAACGTGTAACAGTAGACAAGATCTATACATTAACCTGAGAGCACAGGTACAACTTCTTTAAGTTAACGGCGTTGAGAGTTTTCAAGTGTGGTTTTGACAAGCCGTGAGAATAGTGTCTAAGTTGTGAGAACACAGAAGTTCAGATGGAATTGTTTTTCGTCTTGGTCATTGCATGATGAAGTGGTGATGGTTTAAAAGTGCGTCGATTGCATGTTAACATAGTCCTATGAAAATTAGGTAGGTCAGATCAAAACTAAATCCAAATGTGGGATTAACAGTCTTAACAGCATATTGAAAAAGAAAAACAAAACAACTTAACAGCATATTGTTTCTGTCTTTTTGATAATCAGTTTAAGTAGAGCTTGTTTAGACCTGGATATGTGTAGAAACCTAACAACAATTGTTTTGAAAAAGAGGCACAGTTGGGATGCTGAACTTTAGATAAGTCTTCATCAAGTCATCTTTACTCTGATACTGCTGTTATGAGGCTTGAGAGAATTCCAGAATTGCCAGGGATGAATTGGCTATATTCTTTTGTTCCTACTACCCCTCATGATAATGCTGCTATGATAGTTCTCCACGCATCATATCTAACTTAGTCTAAGTCATCCATTAAGCTTGACTTGTCTTGGATTTTTTTCTTGAACAGTATCTCTCATTGGTTCACCATATTTATATTTGAGAGAAATGCCTTTTGATAACTGTTACAAAAACATGAACAAACCATGGTGACATAGTGAATTGCTGTTCCTAAATTATCACTTACCTAAGAGCAGTCTGTTTCTCCTTGTTAGTAGTACTTCCATGTCTTTGGAGAAGAGGATATCTGTACAGTGTCCACATTTCTTGCAATAGAAAAATCAAGCTACTATGTCATACTTTAAAGTGATAAATGGATAGTGTAGTATAATACACAGAGCTGTTATTCTGGCCATCTCAGCTGTCCAGAATCCAGTTAAGAACTGGGAGATAAGCCAAAATATTTCAGAACAACAAAAATAGGGTTAATGCAGTCAGGTTGATCATCTTTACTAACGGGAAAACACCTCCACCCTCCCTGTGAGCCTGTTTATTCTTCTTTTATGCACAGTTCTAGCAGTTGGCACTGAGGTTGTCAGGCAAGAAATAATCCCAGGTAACAGTACAGTGTGCAGAGGGAGAAGGATTCTAAACAATAGCTGTAGAGAGAAGAGAGGTATTTTTGCTTTTTCTCAGGCCCCAGTGGGAAAATCATTTCTAGCTGTATGGTCTTATACATAGCAGAGATATCCATGTAGAGTATATATCTTTAAAATAGGCTGCTCTTACTTTCCATAAAAAGACAAAGTGTTTAGAAAGACTGCTGTCAAAATTGGGTTAAAAATTGACACTTAAATAGTAAACCAAATTAATTAGAAATCCCAGTCGTTGAAATAAGTGAAGAATTGCTGTCACTCGCACAATCCCAGGCTTTCTCTTCTTGTAAAGTTATGAAGACATTGGTATCCATTATTGCTTGTCCTGATAACTCGCAGAATTATTCCTGTAGAATTAGTCACTGACTTCCTACTCTCAGACATTAGCCGACCCACCCTAGTCACACTGGCAGGGCGGGAGGGTGGCAGGACAAGTGTCACAGAGTAAGCATCTCTCCTCTTCTGCGCGCCTTCATGCTGCTGCTTTTGGGGAGATTATGCTGGCACTTCCTGGCCCTCCGTCAAACCTGTGGGTCTCTTGCCTTGAGTCTGTGAGCAGCCTGAGGTCACACTCCTTGTTTTAGTTTTTCTCTGTATCTCCAACACTTAACACAGATCCTGATGCATACACAGTACTCTGTAAGTGTTGGTTGGCTTTGATTCAGTCAGTTTTAATTCCTTCCTTTTTTTAGGTGAGTCTTTTGAATTCTCTTTCCTCTTAACCCCTTATGGAAGTAGTAGCTGTTGTGGTAGATACTGTTTGAGTCCCATGACTGTTCAGGAAGGAGACTGTTATTGTTAACTGCTCCCTCCACCCACGCACACACACACACTCCTCCCCCATCATCCTCGCTGCCCACCCCACCCCCCACTGTGCCAAGTGACTAGCTGGGTGGTCCTTCTGAAAGCTCCTGTCCCTGTGATTTATGTGATCACCCACTTGCCCTTCTCTTGTGCTGCTCCTCTTGAACCCATCTGTTGCCTGTACAGTTAGCTCAGCATACAACTGTTGACCGTACCAGGTAGAATCAATAACAGGGTCCAGAATTCACAAATGAGATTAAGTCGTGCGGCGACTCTTACCCTTTGGGTGCACTGCTGGTTATAGATGTTCAAGTCTTTTCATTCATTTGTACAGCACACAGCTTTTTAGGTGCCTGTGTTCCAGGCAGCTTCTCTCCATCCCTAAGTGTCTCTCACAGGCTTTTCCTCTTATGTTTTTCTGTTAATTCTCTGTATGTGTATGATTCAATGTAGCTTTTCCCTCTCTGTCTCCCTCTCTCTCCCCGACTGGCACTCTTTCTTTCTCTCTGACTTCCTTTTGTGTCTTTTGTGATGCATGCATACTCACACCTTACACCTAGCTTTCATCCTCTAGTCCAAGGGTAATTTATTTTCTTTTTGCTTTGGCCCCTGCAATCTTTTCCCACCTGGATCTTGGCCCTACCGCCTCTCTGCAGCTCCAGTTTGAGGATGTTTTCCTCATCATTCCCCTTTCCCCCGGGCTCTAGTTTATCCAGTTCCTCTGAAGAGACCCTGCGGGAGTCTTTGATTCATCCTCTGTGTTTTGGGGACACAGGGAACTGCAAACACCGGTCTTTTTGTCCTGCTGCTTCTTCTCTTTCAGTACCCTTCCCCCACCCCCCCCCATCCTCTCACTTTCATTTTATTGGACAGACTCTTCTTCCTACCCAAATCCTGCTCCTCCTAGGACTAGTGTCTCAAGCCTTCACTTCCTCTCATGCCAATGTTAACATTCTTATAGTAACGCCCATTCCCATCCTGAGATTGTGGTCATGATGAATGTGTCCCCCTTAAAGATTTCCTGGGTTGGCAGAAAGCACTTTAACTACTGACCCTCAGCAGACCTTTGAGATTTTGTTAGACTTTAATTCTGATTAGCAAAAACTTCTACCCATTAATCTGAGTACTCTGTTGTGCTTCTAGGTTATGTGCAGACCCCATTATGGAAGGGCATAAGCTATATCATAAGCATATAATTCTTTAACTTCTGGAAGTTACAGAACATTAGGAATAGTATTGCTGGTTGGACTAGATGCTCTCTAAGGTTACTTTCAATTCTAAGAGTGGTGCTTTTGTGATTCCAGCAAACTACTTACACTGTTCTGCTGTGTTCCGTAGAACCCTCACATAACTGAATGCTGTGGCCTGGAATTTAGTTTAGGGCAGTCTGTCTTTAGGCCCCATCCAAGGGTTTCATCTCCTTAATCTCAACAGTACTTGTCATAAGAAACTTTGACCGAATAGGCCCAGTCTGTCATTAGGATGAGAGTGCTTTTTCCAGCACTACAACACTGAGTTTAAAGAATCTTTAACTTTTCACTATTCCATTCTCACTCATTCCATCATGTCTGAAGCTTTTTAGCTTTCAAAATTTTATATGCATCATTCTGAGTCCCAGTGCTAATTATTTTATTGGTTGTGTTGTATTACAAAACTTTAACTTCAGAACTTGGAACTCTCTCAGTGAGGTTTAAAATTGCAGGTCCTAATGAGTTTCAAGAACACTTGAGCCTACAGTACATGTTTTTCCTTCTTTGGTATTCCCATTAACTTTTAGGCCAAACACTTGAGAAGAAATGACCATGGCTCCTTCAAACAGTCATGGTTTTTACTTCTTGTTTTTTGTGTGTTTGTCTCTCTCTCTCTCTAAATTGTTTCCCTTGTGGTCTTTGATCACGAGTTCGTGGCTTTTCAAATGAATTTTGTGTGGTTTGTAAAACCTTTTTATTATATCTGCAGTACATGTTTGTTGTTTGAAATTAAAAAGAAGTAACAACAAATCACCAATAATCCTACTACCCAGAAATGATAACTATTAAGATTTTTAAAAATTTTCTTCCTGCTTTTTAAAAAACGTGTGTATATATACACATATATGCCTTTTTTAAAAAATACAGTTGGGCTCATATTATGTAGAAAGTTTTGAATCCTGATGTTTTCACTTCATATTGTAGTTGGAATATTCCTTCATATTAGTGAAAAATCTGTGAAGATGTGATTTTTAAAAATAGCTTCATGGTGTTTTCTATCATGTGGATCTGTAATGGTTTGTATAGATGTTTTCTGCCTTCACAGAGGTTTAATCAAGTAAAGGATGCTGGTTTGCTCATGTTTTTTTAGATGTTCTGGTAACTTTACTGTTCAGTACTCTAAAATCATAAATATGAATGAATTCTGTCACCGTTAATGTTTCTACTCTTGATTTTGGGGAATAGCTAATAGAAGGAATTCAGTCATTTGAGAAAATGGTTTTCCACAGTCATCTAGATGTTCAAATTCAAAATAGGGCCCGTGGAATGTGCCTTTTTCGAGAATGACACCATTCCAGTTGTTTTTTAAAGACCGTAAATTAATTTAAGTAATATAGGGCCTCTGTTAACATACAAGTAGTCACCTTCTTGGGGCTGAGGTGTCTTGTTTGCTCTCTTTTAATATCTCCTATTTGTATTAAAATACCTGGTGGTGTCAGTGGTATGAAGCTTAATGTCGTTATTTTCAGTTAGAAGCTTTTTTTTCAGAAGAGTGCTTTGTATTAAAGCATTCATCCTGTCTCCATTTTTTCATACCTTATCTATTTTTTATTTAGTTTTAATAAATATATATAAGATTTTTATAAAGGGATTTTCCAGTTTCAGGCAATTTTTACTTTTATTTGTAAGGTTTATGTAGCAGTATTGATTTTTTTTTTTTTTTAATGTTCAGTACCTTGGCAAGCCACTAATAATGAACTTGTTAAGCTGGTTTTTAAAAGGTAAATAGAAAAACGAAGATACTGAAAATGTTTCTGTTTCTCTCAGAGGGTTACAGAAAAGCCATCCTTCAAAGCGTGTGCTTTTCAGACTCTAATTCTGAGGTTTTCAACAGCATGAAAATGGTCCTGCGGCATAGATACAGATCATTTGTAATAATGCTCAAATTGCTCGTTCAAGTGAGCCTTTGCCAAAAGGCTAATCATTAACCATGGTTGATGAGATTCAGTTCCTTCTGTGGTTTTTAGAGGCTCTTTACCTATGTGCTTGATTCTTCATGGCTATTTGAACCTGGTGTCATGCATTTTTAGTCTTCATTATGTTTGTCATATAATGGCAGGAGAATGATTGAAAGATCAATATGATAAAAATGTCTTCCCATTTAGGAAAAGTCCTGAAAACATTAGTCATTCTGAACAACTCAAGGAAAAGGAAAAACAAGGTTTTTTCAGGTCAATGAAAAAGAAAAAGAAGAAATCTCAAACAGTAAGTAGATGGCCAGTTTCTATTTACAGTGGCATCCGTATGAGTCTGCATTAGTCTGTGGGTACTTTACACTTTGTATGTGACAAAGTGAATTATTTTCTTATTGAGACTTAACATGCATATACTGTATATGTTTCTCTCTCAAATTCTATACAACTATCCTCCTCTCACAGAGCCTTTTCTAGGTTCAACAGAATCTCCAGGAATAGAAGAAATTTAATTTGGATGAAAGAGAATGCTTTAACCCTTTCTCAATAAACATCTTATCCATGTGGGTTTATATTCATGTAAAAACTATGAAGCTGCAGGATTTATTTCTCTCTGAGGGTTAAAGATACATGAAAATTTAGGAAATGGTTTTGGTTTGTGTTTAAATCTTAAAATTCTTAACTAACCATCGTTCATTGTTCTCCGCTGGCTGGTTATCTGATTCCCATGTTGACAAGTGCATTTCTGGGCTGCCTAGTCACAGACAGGTCATAGTATTTGACATTTCAGGGCTTGCTTTAGTAGGACATGTTTATCCTGTGATTGAACTGTGAAATGGAATGAGTCTCATTTCCTGAGAGCCCTCCATCTCAACCAAGGGCTGGGTGCATGGAACTGTGCAGGTCACATCACTGAACGAACCAGGCAAGGATTCTGCTGGTTAGTGACGTGAGAACACGTGGGGAAGCCAGGCCTCCAGGCCAGCAGGAACGTCTTCACCCACACAAGGCGTTCTTCCTCCTTTGCTTTATGACACGTTTGAGACTAGACAAGGTTGAGTCAGCCATTTTAAATTATTTTGTTTCTAGTTTTACTTCATACGTGATTGACTCTCGTTTATTTAAAAAGGAAAAAGGCATAATCAAAATGACCTACCCAGATGGACTTCATTGATTTCATCTCTTAAGATGAATAGATTAGACTCAGTTTTTCTGAGGTCTGTTCCGTTACGAAAAGTCTAGGATTATGACTCAATAGTGAGTAAAGATGAGATAGATGATAGTAAAAAGGAATATAATATTTGAAGTAAGGATTTAATAAAGGCCTTCCTCGATTACCTTTCTAGATTACTCTTTACTTGCTTGTTTGTTAAATTTATGATGTCACTATAATATAAATATGAGCTCATTACAGAAAAATTGAGAAGAAAAATGATCATTTCTAATCTCACCACCCTATCACAACTAGTATTAGGATTTTGGTATATTTCCTCCTAGCTTTTTGGCCTGTGCATATGTTTATGGAAAGAAGGTGGTTTTTTAGTTTGTTTTAAATAATAGTAGTCATTCTAGTATAATTTTGTATTCTGGCTTTTTAATAGTATTTCTGTCACACATACACACAATATGTACGTTACTACACAGATTTTATTATCTTCATTTTAATGGCTGCATAATATTCCTGAAATGTTTATTTAGAAAAAAAGCAAAACCTGCCTATATGGCTAACTGAAACTCACTTAAAGTAGAAGGTCCAGTCAAGATGTCACTTAGTTGCATATTAACTACATATGTTATTTAGACCAGATGAACAAAATAGACCTGATTTGAAGTAGAGAAGTTTAAAATATGTAAAGTGCTATTAAAACTTATATCATCATCTGTGGAACATATTTATCCATCATGAACATTAAACTTAGACTACCTCCTCCTAACCACTGTTATTTTTATTTCGAGTTTGTTTTTGTTCTTAACCTCAGGCCCATAGCCATTGTGGGGTGATTAAGTGGAAGAAAATAGCAAGGACACAGGAATTGAAGGTGTTTTTGTGTGTAGATTTAGCTTTTGATATCTGCCTTAGACCCACGTTAAACCTGCGGCTCACCATGGCATGAGTCAAGTATGTACATGTTGACTGACTATTATTCAAGATCTGGTTCAAATTTTAGATGTTTAAATAGTGTAGAGTAGGGTAAATAGGAAATTTACTATTCTCTAACATACTCTCCACTTGAACTTACTTTTTTTAGGGTTTCATACTTTTCTTTTTTGATATGTAAAGCAACTGCAAAATATCTCTGCACAGGTCACAATGACTTAAGCCTTCCAAACCAAAAGTTGTTTATACCCTCTGCATTTTTTTTAATTAAAAGAGGGAAAAAAATGTTTAAAGGACTTTGATATCTAGAGTAAGATTTCCAAAAAGCACTCAGCATAGTACTTCCTGGCAGACCTCAGGCTCCCAGGCTTGACATTGTGTTAACTCTGCCTCCTTCACTTGAGCATTGGAACAGAATTAAATTTAACTTTTCTTCACTCTCTAGAACTCAGCAAAAGGAAACTAGGTAAATGAACTTTGAAAGATTTAAAGCATTGTGGCCTTTGCATAAGATTCAACAAAATGGTAATCTGATACCCAGTGCACAGAGAGTAGCCTCTGTGGGTCCTAAATCTACTTTAACCCCTTTACTTTGCTAACTGCCCAGGCAAGTTGTGACCTGCCCAAAGTTGCACAATCAGTTGGGAGAACGGGAGGTGGGTTCTCCTGAATAGTAGGCCTAGCTCAGTCCCTGCCAGGGGCCCAGCGGTACAGAGCGCCGCCGGCTACTTGTCTTTTTTTTTTTTAATTGAAGCATAATTGATTTACAATATTATATTTGTTTCAGGTGTACAGCATAACGATTCAGTATTTTTGCAGTTTACACTCAAAAGTTATTATAAGATAATGGCTAGAATTCCCTGTGCTATACATTATATCCTTGTTGCTTCTCTATTTTATTTTATTTATTATTTTTTTTATTGGAGTATAGTTGATTTACAATGTTGTGTCACTTTTTGCTGTACAGCAAAGTGAATCAGTTATACATATACGTGTCTGAGGTCTTTCTTGTGGCCTCCTTAGACATGCAAGTTAAACTCTTCCTGGATCCCTGTCTTGGGAGCAGGAAACCTTATGGGCTATTTTACTCGAATGTCTTCATACACACCAATAAAAGATGATCTGAACACCTTCATATACATTCTGGTTCTCTGACAATTGAAATATCCAAAACAGGGAAAAGTCGTGCCAGAAAATCATTCTGTATTGTAAAGATGCCTGCTTTGACTCAAGCAAATCTGGAAGCCTCCTTGGGAAATCTGGCTTCAGTTCCACATTCAGACAGTTACATAAGCCCTCAGAGCATATGGTGACTTTGCCAACTTGGTAATTTTACCCTAGTTAGTATCTCAACTGGTAATCATGCTTCAGTTTAAGGATTGAACTTTCTGTTTCTTCACTTTTGTGGCGTATTCTGAATTGTGCCAGCTATTTTCCATGGGGTGAATACTTCTCACAGTGTAGAACCAGGCTTCTTCCTCAATGGTAGAATCCTGCAATATTGATATATTCCTCTTCCAAGTGATGTTTTCTGGTTCAAGAGTTGACCACGTTCAGAAAGGTTTGCGGTGTCTTTTTCTTTTTTCCTAATAGACCGGCAGATTACATGGTAGATTATTTAGTTGCTTAAGACCTCTGGCAATTAGGAAAAGATTGAAGCTCATCAGTAGCCCTTTAAACATAATTCTTTGTAGCAGTCCTATTTCTGATAATAAATAAATAAATCCTTAAATGTTTTGTAAGCTTAATGTGAATATATGTGTGTAGGTCTCTAGAGACATTCCTGCTATAGGTATTGAGCCTGTCCAAATGTTCTTTATATACACAGAAGTTTCTACATGTCTTGAATTTACATTATTGGCATCTTCATGTCCAGGTGAGAAATGAAACAGAACCTCTCAAGATGCACACACAGCACAGAGATTCTTTCAGTGACTGTTAATATTTAACAATTTGAGAGCATCCAAGGGCTAGGAGTTTCAATAAGAACACCTTCTTTTTTTTCCTTGGCAATTAGTTTATTTGTATCTTATATTGCAGACAGATTCCACCAACGGGGAGAATCCAAGCATCAAGAAATCCCTCTTTCCTCTTTTTAATTCAAAGAATCATTTAAAGCATAGTTCTTCTTTGAAAAAGCTTCCTGTAGTCACTCCACCCATGGTACCCATTTTTACGTATGGTAGCCCTGAAAACTGCTCCAGTAAACTTGTTTTACTGATGACAACAGCATGTCTTTTATTTTCATGGGGTCATATTCTCTTTGTGCTAGTTAAGTACCTGAGCCAGTTCCATAAATTCACTGAGATACAAATTCTTCGACACTCTGGATTTCCTGAATCAGTTAAGGAGGTTGAAGCATAAAAGGCTATTAAACAAACAAACTAGTGAAAGGCTAGTTTGGGTTGTCTGATTAGCCAGTTGTTGGCAGACAGTATTCATAAAATCCCTTATTTCCTGTAAAGAATTTGATTAACATTTACAATTAACAAATGTCTTTTGGTTTGGCTCACAAAGTTTGTTAACACTTGGTTGGCAGTTTGTCTCTTTGAAACCAAGTGAAATTGACCAAATTGGGTGAGCTTGCAGGCTCCATGAAAAAACAGCTTCTGTTAGTTGGTGATTTGCTCTTTCCTTGCCTGGCTCTAGCTTTTGCTGGTCACTTAGTTGAAGGCCAGGGCTTTTGCACTCTCCTCTGTCCACCAGAATCGGCGAGTGGACCAATTGCATTCGTCTGGAATTTGTGGCACAAATTTCTAGCACTTACATAGTGCATAATGCTAGACCCAGATTTACTGGGTAGGTTCTTGGGAATATGATTCAAACCATACTTTCTCACTTTGCTATCCTTAAAAGCCTGCTAGACTTCTTTGGCACCACCAAACACAGTGTATGGATCATTTTCCCAGCAGGAACAAATTTTTGTTTTATTGAACTGGTTCATAACCTAACTGCAATATGGAATGAGGATACGGCAGCAATTCCTGGTACAGCTCAATTTAACTGCTCTCTCTTACAGCGACTAAAACTAACAGCATGGGAATGCTTTAAGGGTTGAGGTTTAACAAAGCTGCATGACATCTGCCAATTTTTCCTAATGCAGGGAAAATTATTAAGAGGGCAGCAGACTTTAACTAGCATCACTTGCATTGTGAACATTGGGAGAGTTGTGATTTCTTTTTTTATTGAGTCTTCTTTGGAGGGGAGGGGGGTGAGTTTTGGTTTGGTTTGATTTGCTTTCGTTCTCCTCTTGCGTGTGGTTGCATATCCTATTTAGGCTTACTGGTGTGATTATTGAATCCTTGTCCATATTCTGCTCTAGGTGCCCAATTCTGACGGCCCTGATCTTCTGACATTACAGAAAGCCATTCACTCTGCTAGCACCCCAAGCAGCAGACCAAAGGAGTGGCGTCCTGAGAAGATCTCTGATCTACAGACCCAAGTGAGTGGTGCCTGCATCACTCCTAGACTCTCAGACTCTGCAGTGACCGGTCTCTCCTGAAGAGAGGACAGGGTTGAGAAATTTAGCCTCTCAATGTTACAGCAAGGCTGAGAGTCTGCCCAGAATATACCCTCAGAAATAGCCAGATGCATCTTGGTAGTCCGGATGAATGGAGGAAAAAAGCGAGGTTCTATTAGTCTTCACCTGCGGGTAGGGGGAGGACAATTAAGGGGAATGAATAAGATACGGTTCCAGTCCACAAAAACTCTGCAGCCTAGGAGAGAGAGAAAATTCACAAATGACCATAATTCGTGGTAAAAGTGAAGCGTACCGTAAAATGTAGGGGAGGGTAAGAGAAGGTAGTGCGAAGATTAAGCGTTCGTTAAAGGTGGTAGCCTACAAACTGCGCCTTGAAAGACAGATATAGTAAGCTTTCTGAAAGACTGTTTAAGCTTCTGAAATCCGTACTAGTTTTGATAGAAAACCGGCAAACATTCGCATTAGGAACTGCATATTAGAAAGTATGTATAGTCACGTTTCTCTGCCATAATGGGGGAATAAGCAGAATCCGAATCCATAAATTTTTCAGGTAACTGAGGTCTTATCTCCTTGAAGCAACCTGTTTTGATGGAAATTTTTAAATATTGTATCTTTTCAGCATCCCATAATGAGCATAGTAACATAATCTAACTTGTTTTTGATTATATTCAATATTTTATAAATCTCTTAGTCCTCTGTACTGAAATTTCTCACAACCCTCATGAGCTTTTGAGGCTGTAGGGTTACTTGTGCCTATAAATGACCATGGATTTCTGTGATTCGGAGGAGTAGGTTCTATTTTATAGGTTTATTGTTTACTCTCTTTAACTATAAGCTGTTACTTAGAGCTGCTGAGAAGAGCTCCCTAAATTTCAACTGTATTTGCCCAGCCATTTATATTTTCTGCTTCTAACATAATATTGGCTGGAGGGGCGAAGACAGTGTAGAGAACCAGATATCCCAGTTATTGGACGTGTACCCGAACTAAAAGCACAAGGCTGTGAGTGAGAGGGCCTGATGTTCTATTCCTCATTTATTAAAAAAAAAAGAGAGAGAGAGAGAAAGAGAGAGAGAGAGAGAGAGAGAAAGTACAGAGTTTTAGAACCTTCTTTTAGAACCACTTCTTTTGCCGAGAAGCTCTTTTCAGGTAACTTTATATCTCCATCTGAACTATTGTGATTGTTCAATAGTTACATGTGGTCAGGGCTGTAAAAATCACCAGAAATGACCATGGAGGATGCTTCCCCAGGAGCGATTTCTACTCGAGTCAGTGCTCAAGCAGTAGCCCCTGGATTTCAATGCCCTGTGCCTCCGACTCTTTAGTATTTCTTGAGATTATCAACATTTTACTTTGCTGAGCCCTTAAAAGCCTTGAGGCCCTTGAGGATTGGCAGCCGGAGGTGCCTCAGGCTGGGGCTTCGGCCCACGTGCCGGGGTCCGCGGTGAGGGCCTTGAATGTCAGGGTGCTTTCCCATGCCTCTTCTGACGGTGACCCCATCAAGCCTGATAAAGAGGAAAGGGGTGTGAGTCAACTTTGGCCAGTGAGGAGCCTGTGGGGCAGATGGCTTCTGGGACCCTCCTTCCTGTTTTGAAGTCCCCCCCACAGTGCAGCACCCCATGAGGCGAAGGCTCCCTATGAGTGAATTGTGTTTTAGAGTCTCTAGGGCTTTTGCTTATTTCTGTGTGCTTTGCATTTTTAGTGCCCAAACTTTACCTCCCCCTCAAAACAGTAAAACACCAAAAAAATGATAAAGTGCAGAAAGGGAACACTGGGATTTTGCAATGCCAAGGGAAAGGGAAAATCAGGGAGATAAGAACAGAAGGGGGTACACAATTTTTAGCCGAGTATGTTGCTACCTATTGAAACATTACATTTTTTCAGTTACTTTTGCCGCTAGACATGGTGGAGTGGCTGAATTTTAGCAGGTGAAATCTAAGTGGCAGCTTTATGCAGAGTTGTTGGGAAGGAAGTCTTCTCGAAAGGGAGAAGCACATCCCTTCTTTTGCTTCTTTCTGATGGTTGGCGCATGAGACCTCCCCCCTCCCCCCCATAAAGATGGGATGCAGCCAGATAGAAGGTGCCTAAGCCTTTGATCAGTCACCATACCAGCTCTAGATTTCTTCTACGTTTCTAGGCTTTTTCATTAAAGAAAAATAACTCCAATCTTGCCTGAAAAAGAACAAAAGAACAGATAAGGCTGGACTGGCCCGTCCTCCCCCACACCCGCCCTCCCTGGCTCCACACGGTCATCTCAGGTCTGTGCTCCTTTTCCTCCCAGCTTTCAAGTCTACTCTAAATTAAATCCTACATGCACCCTCATCTTTTCTTTCAGAGCCAGCCATTAAAATCACTGCGCAAGCTGTTACATCTCTCTTCAGCCTCAAATCACCCGGCTTCCTCAGACCCCCGCTTCCAGCCCTTAACAACTCAACAAGCCAAAAATTCCTTCTCAGAAATTCGGATTCACCCACTGAGCCAGGCCTCTGGTGGGAGCAGTAACATCCGGCAGGAGCCAACACCAAAGGGCAGGCCGGCCCTCCAGCTGCCAGGTCAGATGGACCCTGGTTGGCACGTGTCGTCTGTGACCCGGAGTGCCACAGAGGGGCCTTCCTACTCTGAACAGCTGGGTGCCAAGAGTGGGCCAAACGGGCACCCTTATAACAGAACAAATAGGTCCCGAATGCCAAATCTGAATGATTTAAAAGAGACAGCCTTGTAATGTGTGCTGGAGTGGGGGTGGGGGGGAAAGGGACAATCCGGTTAGGAGGGGAAGGGCGGGGTGGGGTGGGTGGAGAATGGGCGGGGCCGGGGTGGTAAGCCAGTATTTTCAGCTTTATCAAGGTGTGTGCAATATTGTATGTGTGGAGCCAGCTGGCTCCTCACGGCCACAAATGCTAGTCAGGGATCTTAGAGCCACAGGAGTTCCTTAGGGATCACCAGTCCCCACGAGTCTTGTGTGAGAGTGGATAGTGTGCAGCTGAGGAAGAAGACACTTTTGCCAGGTTCTCCCCCTTAGGTTCCAGCTCTAGTGCAATCGCCGTTGAACTTGGGAAAGCCAGGATGTGTTTTGGCACTGCAAGGGATAGAAAAATATGTGTTGACCGATGTCCTTACCACAGATTTTTTTCCGCCTAGACTAAATGTGGGGTTTATTGTAATCCAAAAGTATCCCTTTGAAGGGTTAGCAGATGAACTAACTGTATGTCTTAAATTGTTTTCTAAACTTCCATATTTGATAGGGTTTGTAACATTTATTTATAATTAATTAATATTGTACTGTTATAATCATACCTTTTCTGTTAAACGTAAAGTTATTTTGAGCTGTTTGGAACATTGTGAAGCAGTGGGACAGCTACAGTAGTTTCTATAAAAACTAAACAGTAACGTTTATATATTGCATCAGGAGTATTTTATTCTATATATAAATATATATATGGTAAATATCTGTCTGTTTTATAAATATAATCATTTAAAGAAAGTATCGTTATGACACTATCTGCCATATTTTTATACATTTGTGATATGAAGTGAGTATTATACTTCTAATCAAGGGAGTTGAATTGTGGCTGCTCGTGACTGTAACCGTAGGAACCTTGCTAAACTTTCAGGCGACAGCGGCAGCTTGTAGACACGATCCTTGGTAGCAGACGAGATGCAGCATCTCCTTCTGAACCCACAGGGAAAGAAAGTTGGCTAGGCCAGTGAGAACTCCAGCAGGCCTGTTCCGTCCTCACACAGTTGGCTCCTCTTCGTGTCCAGGGACGTTCCTTGCACCTGAGGGGAGAACAGATCCAGGGTTACTCATGGGGTCTTTGTAGAGAGAATGTGCTCTTCTACTTAGCATTAGCGTAGGGCATAGACCAAAGATTTGCCAGTGAACATTCCTAGTTGCGAGGTTGTAAAAGGTATCTGCAGATCTTGCAAACCAGCTCTATGCTCCTGAATCCTGTGCACTGTACTGGAGACTCTTGGCTGGTAGCGTGTGAGATACATGTGTGGCATTTCTATTTCTAAATGCTTCTTTTGTTATCGCTCTTTCCAATATATTTAAAAGGCTCCTGAGGCAATTCCAGATGTAGAGAAAATTGCTGTACTCATCTTCCTGAGACGGTCCATTTGTAACAAGTTTATCATGCACATCAATAAACACACATACGCACACACACGTGGCCAGAACAGGACTTACCTTTCCCTCATTTGATCTCCTTCAACTCCCAGGTTATTCCCAAGTATCATCAAGGCCTTTGGCCAACAAGGGTCATAGCCCCGCGTTTCTGGGCCATCCTTGACAGAAATCACCTCAATACCATCATCCGTCAAGAGTATTAGATTTTCGGAAGTAGTCTCTTAGCAATAATATTTTTAAAGGTCCCCTCCCACCCCTCAAAGAGGTAGCTTCTCGGTATTTATTACTTGTCCCAGGACTGTGAGAGTATCAGCCCCTGAATCAAGTTGGCTATAATTGAAATCTGCTGAGTTACTGTTCCCCTCCCCCAACATTTTAAGAATCATAGCTCTGATGATTATGAAGATTATAAAGAAAAAGGTCTTAGTTTCTTTGAAGCTTAAATTGTGTGCATATTGCATTTTTATATAACTACTATAATGATGTGTATTGATTATATATAGAGGTCATTTTAAGGTGCTTTTAATTTAATTTTAATAAGTGTAATAGGCACTAAAATAAAACTCAACTAGGTACTATCATTGAAACAATTTGATTCAAACCAATAGTTTGCATGCTCTTCGGTTCTTTTTATATCTTACTGCTTTCACCAGTTCAGTGCTGTCTGAGTAGCTCTGAATTCTGGCTTTTTCCAGGCAGCTGCCCAGTTATATAGTGATGTGGACCCTTAGCAGTTTTTGCCTGGATACTAATGACTCTAAAAGGGTGTGTAACTCTTCTTTTTTAAACTCAACCTGTACCTTGTATTCCCCCTTGCAAACCAGAAACTCCATTTTTTTCCTCTGGAAAGACTTCTCACTGTGCTGTGCGCTTAGGAACTGCGCAGTCACATTGCCATGCTGTGGCATTTGAGGCTCGTCGTCACCTAGGGGCTGGTTTCCCATGTTTTCATCCGTGCTAACATTGGGATCTTAGATATTTGCAGAACATTTATATTCGTGATGGTTCTTCAAAGAAGGGCTAGAATAATTGCCTTCTACCTAGAGCAAAGTAAACCTAACTGATGAAGAGTCAATACATACTTTTCGTACATTCCCAGATTTGAGCCAGAAAATATCTGCAATGTTTTCAACTAGTGTTTTTGACGTAGCTCTTTTATCCTCTTCTCAGCTTTTGTCCATTCTGACTTTCATTGACCTCAGTAAGCTGTAAATGATCTACAATTCGCATTTCTAGCATGCATATTTCTCTTCCTGGTCACATGGTAAAGTTTTCTCTCAAATCTAATGGGCCCTCTTTTAGCTCTGAACTTATTTTCCTCTGGTTGATGAATTATTGGCCTCACAAAGATTGCCATCTGTGATAAGATTAAGGACTTGACTTAAGGTCACAAAAGTCTGCATTTTCTTCAGGAAGGGAAGTTTATGACATCCATGTTCTATCATCTGCCCTAACTTCCTAAAGGATAAAAAGGTTGAATGAAGGCTTATGAATTGCTTTGTTTATGGAAGTATCGCTGATCTTGTGAAAAGAAACTCTGCTTTACTGTTTTTCTACTTTTGCTTTACCGCCGTCCTCATTATTCTTCTCAGAAGTTCTGAATGAACTTTTACTAAACCTTGTTTGGTTTCAGTCAGAGGTTTAGCCTCTCTAGAGCCCAAGACAAAAAGTGCTCCATGCTGAGGGGCTCAAGTGAGTTATCTACAGCAGGATTCTCGACCAGGGCCAATTTTGCCTCCTGGGGACATTTGGCAATGGCAGGAGACATGTTTGGTTGTCACAACTGGGGGTGGTGGTGTGCTACTGGGATCTAGTAGGTAGAGGCCAGTGTTGCTGCTAAACATCTTGCATGCCCAGGACCGCCCCCACCAGACAAAGAATCATTCAGCCCCAAATGTCAGTAGTGCCGAGGCTGAGAAACCCTGCTCTACCATATTCCAAGCCCACCTGTCTGCAGAGCTTGGCCCCGCGCTAGTTCTCTGCAGGCTTCAAAACTGCAGGTACGAATTCTTTAGCGTTGCATTCTCTTAAAGAGTCTTCTACCACCTTTCTTGAATCCCTGGAATCCTACTGTCTGTTTTCATTATCTTGGACCTGCTAAAAGGTACATCCTTTGGGAGGGGACCAGAGTCACTTTATAGGTGTTTGAGAACTTAAATTCTAGGTCAGCATCCTTAGAAAATCTTTCATAGAGCCATGAAGCTTATATTTAGAAGCAAGCAGCAGCCTGGCAGATTGGCATGATTTTTACCAACTGCTCAAAGGCATCCGTGGCTTTTAGCTGTCTCTCCCAAAAGAAAATGTGTTTGTTTTTAATTTAAGTCATTTAATAACTCTTTACAAATACTGGCGTATGACCGATTAGAAGCAAAAAACTCTTAATTGGTGGTCATGATGTGGCTGTTATAGGAGTATTTGTGCCGTGTGCTTTGGTTAAATCTGTTTTAAAATGTACTTTAAGATTCACCATTTGCAGTTGTACTTTAATTCTAAGCTCAGAGCCATGCTGGGTAGTTTCCAGTCGCATCATGTATTATAAAGTATGCTGTGGTTGTAGAGTTAGACAGTTTAGCATATTTCTAACCTGAAAATTAGTGGGCTTTGCTACGAAATGCTACCCCATTTTTCCTTCCCAGCACCTCTTAGTTAACATCATAGTACCCTCACTCCTTAAACTAGTTTTTAGAGTAAATAAGGAAAAAAGCCATTTATTTTCTTCTAGCTAAGTATTGAGAATGACTCATAAGTGTACAACTGTTTTTTAAGGCCAAGAGGATTACTTTTCAAGTATGTAGAAGGCTCTGTCCATTTCTGTTCACCTAGGTCCTGGTGGGGACTCAACCTTTAGCAAGGGCAATGGCTCATTGCGACTTATTCCTAGAGCTTAGCTGGGACTCAGAAATCTGCATAATCTCTCCTGGTCAGAACATATTTTCTGGAGAGCAGTGCTTTTATATCTAGAAGTTTGTTAGCTCCTGCATTATAGTCAGATATTGAGCTCCGTGCGAGCACTAAGATCCACAGACTCATACTTTTGTGAACTGGGAATGTGGTATGATACACTGAACCAAGTCAGAAAATATTGAAATATTTCCTTGCCTCCTTCAATTCATCACTAATAAAGTGTGTAGGCAGAGAAAACTTATTTGCAGTTAAAAAAAATGGTTTCTTTAAAAGGGGCTGCAGAAACAACAGTACATATGTCATAAGTGTCCTGTTGCTAATCCGCAGGGCCAGGATCTCACAAGAAGGCTCTCTTAGAGACTTAAAGGGCCAACTTGCAAAATAAAAACTTGTAAGTGGCTCTGATTTCTTCCTTCTGCATCTTGACCAGCTGAGATATAGAACATAATAACTTGAGGTCTGATTCAGCTGGGTAAAAAATTCTGTATTAGAAACCATGAGTAAATGCAAGAAAGTAAATCTGTGACAGGATGAGTCCCTTGTCTTTCTGTATACACACAATGTGGTAGAAGTACAGTGGCTAGGAAACTATGGGCCTGCTGCCCTATTCTATTCTATTTCTTCTTTTTTAATCGAATGTACTATAAAATGTCATAGACTTTTGTGCCAAGTCAGTTACTATGTGAATATTCATTTCCCATAGTGCTTTGTTAATACATCAGTGTTAGGCCTGGTCCTGACTCCACCTTTCTCCACTCCAGGCACTGACCCACCTTTCTGTGTATCTCCTATAGGCTATTAAATATGATCACAACCTGCCTTGTACTTCCATTCATTAACTGTTTACTCCCAAGTTTGAGGGAAGTTTGTCTTTTGTTTTGCCAGAAAAAAATTTGTAATAGTCTACACGTTGGATTTCTAGGGCCAGAGAACTGTGGCAGTGAAACTGGTATCTCTTCTAAGGCCCTTCATTACCCAAAAGGTTAAGCTCTCTGAACCCCATTTGATCCTTGGGTTGTATTTTGATCTTCCTTTGGAATCTTAAAAATCGGTCTCCATGTTGTATGCAGATTAGAAGTTGCCTTGTTCACTACTCTTCCAGCGCATAGTATCAGGGAGAAAGAGGCCTTATCTGTTCCTCCATCCCCTCCGTTTTGACAGACTGCAAAGAATTCCTCAGGACTTCCTTTGGTTTGGGATTTTACTTTCCCAAAAGCCTGATCTGATTCATTTCAGGCATAGACAAGCTTGTCCTAGTGCTCTGCTTCAGGGCTAATCAGACAAAACCCAGGAATAGAAAAGGTAGATGCCTTGACTTTTGTCCCTGTTGGGGGATTAAAGTGTTTATCGCCAGAGTTGTCAAAAGCTCCAGTTACAACGCATTCAGTTTCAAGGGAAAAAAAAATGATGCTTTTCCTTCTGGAGAACTTTTAAGTTCTCCACAGCAGCTTAGATTTTCCAAAATGGAAAGTAAAGCTTGTATAAAATCTGTTTTCACTAGAGATATACAGTCGATTATAGTCACCTCAGTCCATTTCCCTCTCCTTGTTTCCTCCTTGGTCACTGATTGAGTCAGGCTGGAGGGGTAATGCTGTGATTGTAAGAAGTAAATTCTCACGTGAACGTGGACTGATTAACAGAAACAAACCAAACAAAATAGTTGCCCCTAATTCCTATCTCCAAGAATTGCTTTGTGCCATTTTGAATTCAGGTAGTTATTCTGTATATATTTAGAAGACTATTCTGAGCTTCTTCAATCTCTAGGAAGTTTGAAGGGGGTATCTGGGAAGACACAGAGCAGGGAGACTTTGAGAACCCTGCTTGTGCCTGAAAACAAAAATAGGGATAAGCCAGAATGATGTAACATCTAAGTTTGTGGTAGATGAAGAATCAGTTGAAATTCTTAATTGCACAGACTTTATAATCCATAATATAAAGTGTAATTCCATACTTTGTACTGTGGCAAGGGTGTGACGTGGTGTTAACCTTTTTAATTTTTGAATCCAAGCTGAATTTAAAGTGTTGAATATTTAAATTCCTCACAAGCTAATTATGAACCATTTGTAAGGTGTTTATATAACTCTTTGTATCATGTATTGGTACATCTTATCAAGTTTTTTCTGGCATGTATTCCATTCTAAACTTCTGTAAAATTTCTATTGTTGCTGTAAATATTATACAAATATCTATTCCGTGGTAACCTTAATTATCAGCATGAAATGGTTAATTTTTACTGAGCACAATGTATTTTTGAATGGATCTTCCCAAACGTCTTTAATAAAATGCAGATTTTGCACTGACTGATGTGATTGCCAGGCCTTCCCCATCTTGAGCACTGTGGTCCCTCTTGTTTGAACAACAAGCAGCTCCGTGGTAGTTCCTTCTTTGTAAAGAACTCGTTTGAATTCAGATGAGGGATAATGGGCCTTTGAATTTGGAATCAGTTTAAGGGACAGAAATTATTGTAAGGCAGGGCAAATCCTGTTATTTACCGATGTTGATAATTTTTTTTTTTTTGTATTTATAAAGCTTTTTTCCCCTTCTGGCATTTTGAAAACTTTGGCTTCTTTTACACTTGAGTGTTGCCTCATTTGCACGTTGCCAGACACTCACTTGGTGGTTTGGGGAAGATGGGAAGAGATGTCAACCTCCTGCTTAGTGCCATGGAGGAAGCAAAGATGGACAGCTTAATAAGGATTTCTTCATGTTTTAGAGCAAGGGGTTGGCAAACTCTTTCTGTAAAGGGCCAGATAGTAAATATTTGAGGCTCCATGAGCCATTGGATCTCTGACTACTCAACCCTACTCACCATGCAACTCTGCCATTGTAGTGCAAAGGCAGTATAGATGATATGTAAATGAATGGGTGTGACTGCGTTCCAATAAAACTTTATTTACAAAAACAGGCAGGGAACCAGATTTGCCAGCCTGTTTCAGGCCCTCACTTTTGTTTTTAAGGATAAGAAGACCAACTAAGTAAATGGGGTGGCCAGGGGAGAGCTTAAATTTTGTGATAACATGTATAAATATTCTCCAACTTTCTTTATCTTTCTAAACAAAGGATAGGAGCTAAAACCCTGTGTCACCAAAATCTTCACTCCAAGTTTCTCAAGTGTCATAGAAACTTGTGGCCTGTGATTTCAACTATACTGTTTATCAAGACTGAATCAATGTAACTGGGGCTTGTCATTTTTTTTATGTTCATAGCACTTACTATGGCTGGGCACATTGCCAAGTATTTTACTTTTATTATTATTATTTTTTTTTTTGCGGTACGCGGGCCCCTCACTGTTGTGGCCTCTCCCGTTGTGGAGCAGAGGCTCCGGACGCGCAGGCTCAGCAGCCATGGCTCACGGGCCCAGCTGCTCCGCGGCATGTGGGATCTTCCCAGACTGGGTCATGAACCCGTGTCCCCTGCATCGGCAGGTGGACTCTCAACCACTGCGCCACCAGGGAAGCCCTACTTTTATTATTACATTTATTTTTTGGAAGACCGCAGAGTGGGTAGTATCCCCATTTTGTAGATGAGGAAACAGGTTTATGGACTTTATGTTAACCTGCCCAAGGTCACCCAGCTAGGATTTGAATCCAAGTATGTTCACTGGAAAGCCCATACCCTTTTAACACTACTATACAGTGTGATCACTTGTCTCCATGTATAGAAACTGACATGGGTTCATGACATGGGGTGATTCATGTACCACCCTTCTTCCCATCTCCCATCAAGTGGTAATTGAACTGATTTGAGAATAGAACATTTCATTGAAACAAGTCACTAGAGGTCCAGAGACTAGTGAAATGGCTGAAAGCACAGGATCTGGGGTCGGATTACCGGAGTGCAATCCTAGCTCCATCACCTACATCTTGTGTGGCTTTATGCAAGTTACTTAACTTTTTTATGCCTCGGTTTCCTTATCTTTAAATGGAAAAAATAATAGTGCCTACTTCATAGGGTTGTTGTGAGGATTTAATGAGATGATAACCTGCAAAGCATTTGATAGATTCTCAGTAAATATTAGCTGCTACAGTATTTTTGCTATTATTTGTGCCCCAGTTGACAGCCCTATGAAGTTAAAAAGGAATGTCACTGAATCTTGACTACCACTTATACAGAGCTCATTAAGCACTTTAGGTGCATTTATCTTATTTGATCTTCACATCAGCCCTGTAAAGTTCTCACGATTAAGAACCACCCAGCTTAGAGCTACTCTTGGGATCACAGGGGAAGCAATAGCCCTTACAGGTGTGCATTTGTCAGCAAGCCTCAGCAACCATGCTCCAGGCAGACAAAAAGATGGGCTTCTATCAGTGTCTGTTCAAAGGCTCAATTCAGGGGTGCAATCTTCTGGGTTCTGAGACTGGAATCATAGCAGTACCTTTATTTTGAAATACCTTTACCTCATCTAAGTAACCTCCTCCCACCCTGAATACCAAAATCAGCTCAGACTTTTTCTTAACCTTGCCTACACTTAGTGTTACTTCTTTGTTCATAGGATTTCATCTAGTTGTTTAAAAATCTCCTGCAATATGTTACGTATATTTTACCACAATTAAAAAAAAAATGTCCTGCAAGTATAGGCCACACTCTAGAATTTATGAAAATATTCTTCAACCAAAAGTTTCCCCCACAAAAGAAATAGTACTGCAAACATAGTTCATGTGTTTAATGGCAAGATTCTGTTGGGCTTCAGATGTCCCTCAATAAAAGTTTTATTTTTTATACATTCTGTCATGAATTAAATGAAGTAAAAATTCATATACTGTAGTAAATAAATTACCTACAGATAAATGTTTTACGAATCTCACTGTTTATTAAATTCTGAAGTACTGAGCAATTTCCAGTAGGAAATCTCAGCTGACCTCCTTGCAGAAATTGACAAGTTGATCCTAAAATTCTTGTGGAAATCCAAGGGACTCAGAATAGCCAAAATGATCTTGAAGAAGAACAAAGTTGGAAGACTCGTGCGTTACAATTTGACAACTTCCTACAAAGCTACAGTAATCAAAACAGTGTGGTACTAGCATAATGACAGACATATAGATCAATGGAATAGAACTGAGTGTCCAGGGAATTCCCTGGCGGTCCAGTGGTTAGAACTCCATGCTTTCACTGCTGAGGGTGCAGATTCAATCCCTGGTTGGGGAACTAAGATCCCACAAGCTGCGTGGCATGGCCAAAAAAAAAAGAATTGAGTGTCCAGAAACATAAACCCTCACCTTTCTGGTCAATTGATTTTCCATAACGGTCCAAGGTCATTCAGTGGGGAAGGAATAGTCTTTTTGACAAATGTGCTGGGACATTTGGACATCCACATGCAAAGAATGAAGTTAGACCCCTACCTCATATCATATACAAAAATTAACTCAAAATCGATCAAAGATCTAAATGTAAGAGGTAAAACTATAAAACTCTCGGGAAAAAAAAAATAGGAATAAATCTTCATGATCTGGATTTGGCAATGGTTTCTCAGATATGACACCAATAGCACAAACAACAAAAGAGAAAAAATAAGTTGGACTTAAAATTTTAAAATATGTGTTTCAAAGGACTCCTTCAAGAGAGTGAAAAGACAACCTATGAAATAGGAGAAAATATTTGCAAATCATTTATCTGGTAAGGTAATTGTATCTAGAATATATAAAGAACTCTTACAACTCAATATTTTGAAAACAGCCTGATTTTAAAAATGGGCAAAGGGTCAGAATAGACATTTCTTCAAAGAAGGTGTACAAACACAGTAGACACATGAAAAGATGCTTAACATCATTACTCATTAGAGAAATGCAAATCAAAACCACAATGAGAGGTACTACTTCATACACACTAGGATGGCTACAATCAAAAAGATAATAACAAGTGTGCAGAAATTGGAACCCTCATACATCGCTGGTGGGAATGTAAAACGGTGCAGCCATCTTGAAAAATTGTCTGAAAGTTCCTCAAGAGGTTAAATTGAGTTACCATATGACCCAGCAATTCCACTCCTGGGTATATACCCAAGATAAATGAAAACGTCCACACAAAAACTTGTACACAGTTGTTCATAGCAGCATTATTCATAATAGCCGTAAAGTGGAAACAACCCAAATGTCCATCAACAGATGAATGGGTAAATAGAATGTGGTTTATCCATACAATGGAATGATATTCAGCCATAAAAAGGAATGAAGTACTGATACATGTTACAACATGAATGAACCTTGAAAACACTATACTAAGTGAAAGAAGCCAGACAGGAAAAAACCACATATTGCATGATTTCATTTATATGAAATGTCCAGAATACGCAAAATCTACAGAGACAGAAACGAGATTAATGGTTGCCCGGGGCTGGGGTGGGCAAGTGGGTTGGAGAGGTGTGATGGCTAGTGGGGACAGGGTTTCTTTTGGGGGTGATGAAAATTTTCTAAAATTGATTGTGATAATGGTTGCTCAACTCAATATACTAAAAGTCATTGAATTATACACTGTAAATGGGTGAAATTTGTATGGTATGTGAATTTTATCTCAATAAAGCTGTTCCAAAACAAAACTTTCCAATATAAACAATTATTTGGAGAACCTTTATCCCTGCCTCACGCTGTTTACTTCTTTTCTTTTTTTCCCTTAACTATACTCCCCTCCTGTGTCTGGTGTGCCAGTTGTAGAGTCCTGAACTCTTAGGCTATTGCCATTTTCTCTGACAACCCATGTCACGATAAAAGTTCGTTCAGCTTTCCTAGTAAGAATCTCTAGGCATTCTGTTCAAAGTGGATTTGTCCATGTGTCCTAAGGCCAGAGAAGGATTTTTTTTTTTCCCTACCCTGAATTGATACCTTTATATGTGAGAGAAGATTGAGCAGAGAAAAGTGTTTTTCCACGTTTAAGTGTACAGCATGGGGATTGGAAAGATGCTGGGTTAAATAAGCTGTTCTAAGCCCAAAAACACCAGGGAAGAGATTTGGGGATTTTAGGAGGCTGGCCGTTCACAGAGAAGGTGAATACGATGTCCAGGATCGTGTTGGTGTGAGTCCATTGCCTCGGCTTGGCGTTTGAAAACAGAAAGTAACTCAGAGAAATGAGCTGCTAGCAGAGGCTGCACTGCCTCAGGACCAGGACAGTCTTGGCTTCCCCAGTCTCGCTGGAGGGCCCTCATCCTCTCATTCCACCCCTTCTCGGCTCCTGCTTTCAAATCCTCTCCTGCCCACCGGCCCTGTCATCAGCCTCTTCCAGGGAAAGGCCTGAAAACTCAGGCTGAGCTATAAACGACAAAGGCGGACTGTCCTTCCCCCGAGCTCCCTGCTTGTGGAGCTCCTCCAGGA